GGACTATTCTCAGTCCAGCAGTGACACTGAGGTGTTTAAAAACTCCAGCAGCACTGCTGTGTCTGATCCACTCGCACCAGCACAACACACACTAACACACCACCACCACGTCAGTGTTACTGCAGTGCTGAGAATGACCCACCACCCAAATAGTACCTGAGCCTCATTCAGGTCCTGCAGCTGTAGCGTTTGCCATCACATCTCAGATATTAGACTTGTCTGCGCTAAGCAGCGTCAGATCGATGTGAGTGAAGATGGTCCCGAGTCTCCGGAGAGCTTTAAGCCGACCTGCCCTTTACACAGCCACTCCCGTTTACATCACACCTCACCGCCGCCCTCCCTCCGCCGTCGCAGGGTTTGATTTCCTGTCCTCATAAATTGAAAGCTGATCACCTCTTCACATCAGAGCGGCGTTTTACAGCCAGAGTGGATCATAAATCCTCTGAGTTTAGCATTCTGCGATGGTCTGGCTAAAGCAGGGAGACCTTTCGGTTCTCTACAGACAGCCTCGGCTTTGAGGTCTTTCCCAGCGTCGCTTTCTCCAGATTATACATCGATCCTCCAAGACAAAACCTCATCAGACGCCTCATCTGCCCAGTAGAGCCTCCACACCTTCTCGTGAGCTCAAATCAGAGCTCTTAACATCAGTAAACAATAACAAATCAGCCATTTAGGCACTCGGAGCGGAGTTTGGGTGTTTAGGGCTTCCCGCTGTGTGTAGCCCACTGTTACCATTCACCATGTTCCTCAAAGAGCACTGCTACTGCAACGGAACACAGGCTGGAGTACAAACAGTACAACACGTTCTCCATCAATCTTTAATTATGCAAAGGGTTCTTTGAGTGTTCATGGTTCTATACAGGACCATTTTCTTTACTAAAAACCCTTGAAGAACCGTCATTTTTAGTGTGTATAAATATAAATAGGCTGCAGTGATGACTGATTGTTTCAAGTGTTCTTAAGTAAAGACCAACAGTTACATAGAGAACCATGAGCACTCAAAGAACCATTTGCATACTAAAATGGTTGTCTTCATGGTGAAATGGTTCTTCAGACTGATGAAGAATATGGTGTATATGGTTCTATATAGCACCAAAAAGGTTCAATATAGAACCGTATACAACACATTCTCCATCAATCTGAAGAACCATTTCACCATGCAGAGAACCGTTTAAGCATTCTGTATGGAATCTATACACGTTCCATACAGAATCACTGTCTTTAAAGAAACCGTGAAAAACATGGTTCTTTTACTAAAGAAAAGGGCTCTATATAGAACAATGAACACCCAAAGAACCCTTTGCATAATTAAAGGGTTCTTTGCATCATGAAAGTGTTTTTCAGATTGATGTAAAATGGGCATGAATGTACTGTAGATGCTTCTATACAGAACCTTTTTAAAAAGGGTTCTATATAACACCCAAAAGGGTTCTTCTATCGCTACTTGACACCATAACAATAGAAGAACCTATTTGGGTGCTATATAGAACCATTTTCAAGCATATTCTCCATCAATCAGAACTCTTTAATCATGCAAAGGGTTCTTTGAGTGTTCATGGTTCTATATAGGACCATATTCTTTACTAAAGAACCTTTGAAGAACCATCATTTTTAAGTGCGTATAAATGTATAAAAGCTACAGTGATGACTGATGGTTTAGTATTACTAATTTTTTACTGTAACAGTGACTAATTATTCTGTTTCAACTGGAAAATTAGCATTTTATTTATGGTTAATTAGAGTTTATTATTATTAGCTTTTATTATTAACTTATTATTAAGTAACAAACACAAATTTAGCATAGAATTTTTAGATAAGCACAACTTATTGCCATTATTTTACCAGTTTATTATTTACATGTTATCGCTACAGTTACTGACCTTTTAGCATGTCATTTTTAGGTCAGTACAAATTAATTAGCATCATTTTACAATTTAGTTTAAACACAATATAACAATTACTAACTTATTATTCATTAACAACTAAAAAATTTACACGTCATTTTTAGGTTAGTACAGTTTAATTAGCATTATTTTACCATTTAATTCATAACTAGTTACCACAATAATTACTAACTTATTATACATTAATAACTACAAAATAAACATGTAATTTTAAGGTTGGTGCAACTTCTTACCATATTATTACTGACTTATTATTTATCAATTATTCTGTATCAACTGGAAAATTTATTTTTTCATAGAGTTTAGATAGAGTTTATCATTTTCTCCATTTTACAGCCAGTCACCACTCCAATTTTTAAATTATTATTTATTTAACTACAAATTTAGCATATCATTTTTAAATAAGCACAACTTGTTGTGTTACTTTACCACTTTATTACTGATGTGTTATTACTGCAGTTACTAACCATTTATTAAATAACACAGAGAAAATTAGCATGTCATTTTTAGGATAATACAAATTAATTAGCATTATTTTACCATTTTATTTATAACTACTTACCACAACAATTAATTAACTCATTATTCATTAACAACTACAAAATTAACATCATTTTTTGGTAAGTGCAGCTTCTTACCATAAAATTACCGAATTATTACTCACTTATTATTCATCAATCATTTTATATCAACTGGAAAATTAGCATTTTATTTATAGTTAGAGTTTGTTGTTTTTCTAAAATACAACCAGTTACTACCACAATTATTAAATTATTATTTATTAATAACTACAAATTCAGCATATAATTTTTAGATAAGCACAACTTATTGCCATTATTTTATCACTTTATTACTGATTTGTTTCAGCTACAATTGCTAACCTTTTATTTAATAACAGAGAAAATTAACATGTCATTTTTAGGCTAGAACAGATTAATTAGTATTTTACCATTTTATTCAGAACTACTAAATTATTTATTAACAATTACAAATGTAACATCATTTTTAGGTTAGTACAGCTTCTTATCATAATATTACCGTATTATTACCCACTGATTATTTATCAATTTTATATCAACTGGAAATTATTTATTTATGGACAGAGTTTATTATTATTCCATTTTACAATCAGGTACCACTACAATTACTAAATTATTATTCATTAACAACTACAAATTCAACATGTCATTTTTAGGTTAGTACAATTAATTACTAAAACATTATTTTACGATTTTATTCATACAATTACTAACTTAATCATTACTGATTACAAATTTAATATGTGAATTTTAGGTTAGCACAGCTTCTTACCAGAATATTACTGTATTATTACCCACTTATTACTGATCTTTAAAGTCCAGCCTCACAACAGCAGCCATGAAAGATCACAGCTGTGGAGAAAACTTGTTTTATGTATTGGAATATATTTCAAAATTCTGGTAAAACTATTTGTTCTGGGCCCGTTAACAAACACTACATCATGCAGCTCTGGTGTTCACCTGGAACCGACCGTGCAGGGCTGCAGCTGCTGGCGAGTGAGCGCACCTGTCCTCCTCTTACCTGAGCTCTTACAGGTGAACTTCGCTTTGGGGTCACACGCTCTCCGGACCCCCTCACACGCCACCTCATCACTGCCGTCCTCGCAGTCCTTATCGCCGTCACAGCGCCATCGCTCGGGGATACATGACCCCTCACCACGGCAACGGAACTCCTCCTCACTGCAGTCACTCACAGAGGCCAGCGCTGAGAGAGAGAGAGAGAGAGAGAGAGAGAGAGAGAGAGAGAGAGAGTTTACTATATTTACTTTTTACAGTATTATTTACCTACAGTAACACAAAAATCAATAGAAACCTATGGACATCCTCATATGTATAGCAAGACAAACGTGTGTGTGTGTGTGTGTGTGTGTGTGTGTATAGTGTGTGTGTGTGTGTGTGTGTGAGTGTGTGTGTGTGTATAGTGTGTGTGTGTGAGTGTGTGTGTGTGTGTATAGTGTGTGTGTGTGTGAGTGAGTGTGTGTGTGTGTGTGTATAGTGTGTGTGTGAGTGTGTGTGTGTGTATAGTGTGTGTGTGAGTGTGTGTGTGTGTATAGTGTGTGTGTGTGTGTATAGTGTGTGTGTGTGAGTGTGTGTGAGTGTGTGTATAGTGTGTGTGTGTGTGTGTGTATAGTGTGTGTGTGTGTGAGTGTGTGTGTGTGTGTGTGTGTGAGTGTGTGTGTGTGTGTGTGTGTATAGTGTGTGTGTGAGTGTGTGTGTGTGTGTATAGTGTGTGTGTGTATAGTGTGTGTGTGTGTGTGTATAGTGTGGTGTGTGTGTGTGTGTGTGTATAGTGTGTGTGTGTGTGTGTGTGTGTGTACCTGTCCCTCTGCAGGTGACGTTCTCATCACTGTGGTCTCCACAGTCGTTGTCTCCATCACACAGCCAGTGTTCTGGAATACACTTCCCACTGGAACACTGGAACTGAGCCACGGAGCACGCATGGACACAGCCCAGCTCGTCACTGCCGTCCCCACAGTCATCCTCTATGGAGGGAGAGATACAGAGAGAGAGAGAGAGAGAGAGAGAGAGAGAGAGAGAGAGAGATACAGAGAGAGAGAGAGTGAGAGAGAGAGTTACAGAGAGAGTTAGATAGATAGAGAGAGCAAGAGAGAGTTACAGAGAGAGAGAGAGAGAGAGAGGAGAGAGAGAGGGGGGAGAGAGAGAGAGAGAGAGAGAGAGAGAGGAGAGAGAGAGAGAGAGGGGAGAGAGAGAGAGAGAGAGAGAGAGAGAGAGAGAGTAAACGATGATCAGATGTACACAAACAGGGTCTATCAGTTGGTGTAGTTGTTCAGACTCTCTAATGGTCTTGTTTGTGGTTCCTGACCTGCTCTGTTATCTATAAACATGGACTAAATGAATTCTGTCCATCCTTTCATCCAGTGGAGCTGCTGGGATATAAGACTACACTGTTTACTAGCTACACTCGTTTTTTAGCTCCAACACAAAACAGAGGTTTTTGCTAAACTGTTGCTGTAATAGTTGCTCTGATACTCAAAAGCTTTGCTGTTCCCTGGTTAGACAGGACTCTGACTGGGGCAGCACTCTGAGTGGGGCAGCACTCTGACTGGGGCAGCACTCTGACTGGAGCAGCACTCTGACTGGAGCAGCACTCTGACTGGGGCAGCACTCTGACTGGGGCAGCACTCTGACTGGGGCAGGACTCTGACTGGGGCAGCACTCTGACTGGGGCAGCACTCTGACTGGAGCAGCACTCTGACTGGGGCAGCACTCTGACTGGGGCAGGACTCTGACTGGGGCAGCACTCTGACTGGGGCAGGACACCGATTGGGGGCAGGACACCGATTGGGGCAGGACACCGATTGGGGCAGGACTCTGATTGAGGCAGGACTCTGATTGAGGCAGGACTCTGACTGGGGCAGGACAATAATTGAGGCAAGACTCTGACTGGGAAGGACTATGATTGAGGCAGGATATTGATATGGCAGGACATGAATTAAGGCTGGATTCTGATTGAGGCAGGACTCTTATTGGGGCAGGAATCAGATTGGGAAGGCCTATTTGGAAAGACGCTGACTGCAGCAGGACTGTGATTGAGACAAACCTCTGATTGAGGCAGGAATATAATTGAGGCAGGATGCTGATTTAGGCAGTACGCTGATCGGGGCAGGGCTCTGATTGGGAAAAGACTCTGATTGGGGCCGGGCTCTGATTGGGGCAGGACTCTGATTGGGGCAGGACTCTGATCGGGGCAGGACTCTGACCAATGAAAGACTCTGTTGGGAGGATTCTAAGGCAGCAGCCTGATTCAGGCAGGACCCTGATTGGTGCAGGACATTGATTGGTTCAAGGCATTGGCTGCAGAAAGACAGTGATTAGGGCAGGACTCTGATTGAAGCCGGAATCTAATTGGGGCAGGACTGTGATTAGGGAAGGACTCTGATTGGGTGGGAATCTGATTGAGGTACAAAAATCTGATTGGAGCAGGACTGTGACTGGTCCTGACTGGGCTGGACCCTTATTGGTGACTGTGCAGAACTCTGACTGGTGATTGGGCACAGGACATAACGGATTGGTCAGTTTTATCTCACCGGAGTCACAGCGCCACTTGCTGCTGATGCACCTGCCGTTGGAGCAGCTGAACTGCGTGAGAGGAGCACAGGTGGGGAAGTCTGAAAAGGAGAGGAGCAGAACGGACAATCAGAAAATAAAGCAGAGAGCAGAAGAACAGCAGACACAAACGACCATAAGTATCCAGACACCAGCGCTTCTTCTACAGGGTTCTTTATAGTGAGTTGCTGCAGTAACAGCCTCTACTCTTCTAGGAAGGCTCTACACTAGATGTCGGAACATTGCTGTGAGGATCTGATTGTGCGTTAGTGAGGTCGGGTACTGATGTTGGATGGTCAGTCCAGCTCATCCCAAAGGTATTGGATGGAGCTCCATCACTCCAGAGAACACAGCTCCACTGCTCCACAGCCCAGTGCTGGGGGGCTTTATACCCCTCTAGACCACGTTCTGGCATAGGGCATGGTGACCTCCATTCTGTTGGTCAGTGCTTTTCCATAGAGATTGCACCTGGTTGCACCTTAAAGTAGGTGAATCCACTCATTAGGACTGTCTGGATACTTTCGGACGCATAGCGGATGCGCCCACACACAGTATTCCTATTCCGAGTCTGACGCAGCCTAATCACGCTGGGTCGCCCGCTGCAAATGTAATTAACTGCAGTGAAAAGCCTCGATTAAATCCTCATCAGGCAAAGTTTCGTCTCGCCTCTTTCTCTTTTTTCCCCACAATAACAAACACGGCTGTTTGGTTTCTCGCTGAACTTTGCCACCGCAGCCCTTATCTCTTCAGAGACAGGAGCGCCGTCCCGGAACACACCAGCAGCACGTGTTCGTCGGGGCTTACGCGCACGGAAAACTTAAACACGAGCGAATTAACGAAGGGAAGTAAAGTTGCCCCGGAAGGACGGCGGAAAAACCCGCAGGAGGCTCAGGAGAACCCACCTAAGCCTGGAACCGGGCTAGTCTTCTCAAACGCAGCGTCTGCAGATGCCCCAGCAGCACGAAGTGCTTTCCAACCCTGGCTCTGATTCAAGGAAGCCGAGCATGAACTTTAATTGCTCCTGCTTCTGCCTCTGTGAGCGTGTTCAAACCGAAGTGCTGCTTAAAGTGATAGTTTGGCACCAAACCAAGTTTAGACAATTGTAATTGATCAGCCAGGACATGTTTAGTGTCTGAAATTGTTTCTTTAGTGTTAGTACCGGAGCTACGAGGCTAATGTGGCTAATATAGCTTATATCCCGTCAATTAGCATGACTAGATTATCATTCATTCACAGACAAAATGACTTTGCATAGCTAAGAACAGCAGCAGATATACTGAGTCATGAATTATGTCCATTTATATGAATAACAGCTCTGTGATGGGTGTATATAAATGGATATTGGCAATGATTGACAAGTAACCTTCTTTGATGATGCTTCAAAGCAATTAATGAAATCGAAAGGACTACTTGCTATTTGAATAATTCTAAATAAAGCTAATTTGTACACACATATAAAGTTTAATACACTGTTACGTTAATATAATGGATTATTGTGGAGCGTTGATGATCTGATTAGCCACAGTAAAGTATTCCTCACTGTATAAGCATTTCAACACAGTGACTCACTGAGTGTGTTTACATGCACTAATCTGATAACTGCAGAAAATCAGATTTAATCAGTCTTCTGATCAACGCGTTTACATGCACTTGAGTAATCAGATAATGGGGAAACTCCAGATCTACAGCCAAATAACGTAAAACTCAAACTTTATATTGCAGCTTTTTTTTTTAAACATCGCGCCGCTTTACCTGAAAATATGAACATACATCGTCTAGAAGATGAAGAATATTGAAATCCTTCATTTCGTGTTTGGTTTCACACGCTGCTCGCTTATTTCCGGTACTGCCGTCTGTTTTCGCACCTGCTCAGAGAAATCCGAAAGAAATCAGAGTAAGAGTTCACATATACTGAGAAATCTGATTACTGAACTAAAGATTTCTTAATCAGATTTCTAGACCTTCCTTCAATCTAAGAAATCAGAGTATGCCGTTTACACAGCCACTTGAAAAATCAGATAACTGCAGAAATCCAATCATGATCGAATTATTGAGTGCATGTGAACGCACTCAGTGTTTTGATGTTAAGCACATGGCTTTGGAACTCACTCACTCGGGCACATTTATCAGTCTGAAGTTTCTCCAAAAGGGGGAGCCGTTAGCACGTAAGCCGTTTTTTTGGGTGCGGCATTTAAAGAGAAGAAATCCACACCAGCAGGAGCTTCGACAAAAGTTGGTTTATTGGGTGTTTAATTTAAATGTCATTTACATTAAATGAAGCAATACCAAATAAGCATATATATATGCTAAAGCTAGCATATAGGGTAGGTCACTACTGCAGTGGACTTTAAAATAAGAAAACATCCTAATTATTCTACACATACAGTGTTAGAAACCACATAGTGAAGTCTGTTAGAGATTACATAACAACTTTTCCAGGTTTGAGGTTGGTAATTTAGGCATGCAGTTAGCATGGTAAATGCTAAAATTTAAGTTTCCTTTACTTGTTAGCTACATTAGCCTTGTAGCTCCAGTAAAACTAGAAAAGCAGACTTTAGCCACCATGTCCTGCCTGATAATTTCTTCAGCAGCAGTGGAGAGCAGGAATGCTAACCACTAACATGGTCAGGCTTTGTTCTTCGGTTCTCAGGAGGGAGCTGTGAGAGTCTGCGGTCCATTTGCGGTTCCTTAGGAGCGATCTTTAACCTTCACTGTGGTTTCAATTCCCCACGCGGAGCTCAGTGGCATTCAGCTCCTGATAACGACACGCAAAATAATTCTGCTGCTGTTTTTTATGCTTTACGTTAGTTACTGTTGTTCTGCGCTTTGACTGTGAGATTAAATTATGCATTACTAAAACGTTCGCCTGCTGATCGTCTCCTGTGGACGGAAAAGCATTCTGAGGATTAGCAGAGCAGAGCCTTCGGCAAAGCTTCAGTGTTTCAGGGTTTTCCTTCCACATGTAATCAGTGCAGTGATGCCTCTAAAAGCACAAAGAAAATTCTTACTAACAACAAACACAGCGCGGCCCCTCGCGTCCCATGCAGAGCCCAAGTTAAGATCAGACAGTCAAGATCAGATTTTTCACACATTTGTATCACAGAAGCAAGAATATCTTATCTTACAGCATCTTATCTCCAGTTAGGAAATCTTAACCTACTTGATTAAAGTTGACAATCAGCTGTCATGTCTGTTGCCTAGCAACCGACAATAAACACACAGCTGAAACATAAAAATGTAATCATAATAATATTAAAATAAGTCACAGCGGCTGTTACTGATGTAAAAAAGGGAAAACTAACCTAAAGTGTGGTAAACTGTAGGTTGTGAATACTGTGAGAGCGCCCCCTGCTGTTTATCAGAGCGTTAACACTGCCCAGTTTCAGTCTCCATTTCCCAAACGCTTTAGCCGAGCGCGCTAACGTTACTCCTCCTAATAAACAGACACACGTTCAGCTCCGTCTCCTCATTATTATTGTTATTATTATTATTATAATTATTATTATTATTATTACTACTACTACTACTACTACTATGTACATCTAACTAATATAATTGTAATATAATATAAAAGTGACTACAGCTATTACTCTTTACCATAATACTAAATGCTACTAGCTATTCTAACTTACTAAATAATTTTATTAATATTACCACTTAAAGTTCAATTCTATTAATAAAGATAACTAGAAATTACGTTCACAGTGCTTTTTTGAAAAATAAATATTGGACTAATGACTAAAATGTAACGCATAGCCGAAACGTCTTGAAACACACGGATTAAAACATCTATATGTCAAGATGGGTGATGTGTCCAAACACTGTGTCCTCTGGAAGGTCCAGCTGAACACAGTAGTTAATATCTACCTCTGGCTTAGCTCTGATTTTGGGAGCTATAACGCTGAGCCGGCTCTGCTGATCTAAGCTGTCTGCTGGAGTTCTAGATCATTTTTGATGGTGTGAGCGTGTAAAGCTCTTCATTCAGCTCTGCTGCCTCTACACATTCTGTCTGTGGAGAGATCACATCTTCCCGCTTCAGAGTGAGAGGCTGTAGCAGACGCTGCACCAGACGCTCGGCCTGCGGGTTAAACTCTCTCGACCGATCAGCGGTGCAAACTCACAGATCTGCTCCAGACTCTCCATCAGCAGAGCTGCTGTTAGACAACGGCTATCAAAGACCATCAGGGCTCAGACCTCGGCGTCCTTATCAGACGCCACACAGACACACACCCAGCCTTTTAACAGGAAACAAGAGTTCTCTCCAAAAATGATGATTTTAAATACGCATGAAAGCTTCTAAAGGTAATAGCAAAGGGTTAAATATAACCTGAGATTATTTTTACAGTTTGTTTCAAAGCACAAGGTGTTCCTAATAAAGTGGCCAGTTAGTGGAAGCTAAAGGTGGGTGTTTCCAATAAAATGGCCAGTTAGTGGAAGCACAAGGTGGGTGTTTCTAATAAAGTGGCCAGTTAGCAGAAGCACAAGGTGGGTGTTTCCAATAAAGTGGACAGTTAGTGGAAGCACAAGGTGGGTGTTTGTAATAAAGTGGCCAGTTAGTGGAAGCACAAGGTAGGTGTTTCTAATAAAGTGGCCAGTTAGTGGAAGCACAAAGTGGGTGTTTCTAATAAAGTGGCCAGTTAGCGGAAACGCAAGGTAGGTGTTTCTAATAAAGTGGCCAGTTAGCAGAAGCACAAGGCGGGTGTTTCTAATAAAGTGTCCAGTTAGCAGAAGCACAAGGCGGGTGTTCCTAATAAAGCGGACGGTCAGTGCAGTTGAGAAAGCAGTTAAACTTGTCGGAACTGAAAAATGTCAGAACAACCTTGAAGTGGTTCACAGCAAACGTCATTTCTCTTGAAGGATAAAGAAAAGCAGGAGCTTCATATTTACACCTTCAGGGATGAGGTAAGGTCAAGGTGTTCCTGTTGTCTTGATGAACTCATAGCAGTTTCTCCAAAGCTCTCTCACTAAAGGGCTTTATTACTCTGCTCAAAAGCTCTGTCTGTGCTTTAGAACCTCACTGTTAGAACCATTAAATACTCTCAAACTTCAGCTCTGACTGTGAAGCGACACGAAACCCAGGAAATGATTAGGTGACCTGTATAAAGCACCGTGTCAAAGCCTGGGAGCGTGAAGTAAGGAGAGGATGGAGGGACAAATTCTTTCCTATCATCACAAATATGCAGTATTCAAAAATATAAAATAGAGCTAAAGTATAAAAACTATGCTGTGAAAAAGTTTTTGCACCCCTCGTATTTGTCACACTTAACTGTTCTAGATCTTATATCTTTAGATATCCTGAGTAAACACCAAACACAACTCAAGGGAAAAAGTTATCCACCACCAACGGCTCCTGTTTAAAAAAGTAAATGCCCCCCTCTATTTAACAAATAGATCAACTAACTAGACAAACCCAGGCTTTATTACTCACGTATGGAAATCTGATATTTGGCCATATATATGCACATTTATCATAAAGTGTCATTTCAAAATGTATGTACAAATATTGTGTACATATATTTAAGTAATAAATAACTTAATTATTTGAGCATACATGTGTGTCTGGCAAGTGAATATATGTATGATATCTGGAGTTTGATTGATACCATATTACCTATATGTTTTATATATTTCATTAGGAAGTATGTGGAAGAAACAAAGAAGATGCATGTCTAAATATTCTTATTTTAAAAAAAATATTCTTATTAATATCCATATGTATACTTATGCATAAGTTTGGAAAACCCAAAATCTTATGTTATATAACAGGATGTAAGCATATATGAGTAATATATATCTTTAACATATTTTTTTCTATCGTATATGGTTAAATATGTATTACACATATATGTTTATATATGTTGTTAAATGGCCAAAATATATACTGCATATTTGAAAATGGCCAATTTCAAAGAAGTTGGCATATATATCACATATATGTCCATATGCGTCCATCTGTGAACACTCAAAGAACCATTTGCATGCCTAAAGGGTTCTTTGGTCAAATGCTTCTTCAAATTGGAGAATATATTGTATATGGTTCTATATAGCACCAAAAAAGGTTCTGCTGTTGTTTGAGATGTCAAGCCTCTAACAAGTGAAGATTTTTGGGGCTATATAGAATCTGTAGAGCCGTTGTCTTCACTGATGAACCCTTAATGAACCATATATATGCCAAATAATTGAAATTCATTTAATGTCATCTATAAGATAAATCCCTTTACCTGAAGGGGGCGCTGTCCCCACATACTTTGGGCAACAGTTACAATTTTGGTCCCATTTAAAAGGTAACACGCTCACAGTTTTTCCCAGCCATCAGAATAATTGTATGAATTACTCACACAGAGTAACAGACGCTAGAATGGAATGGAGTTTCTTTCCGCCTGACTCACAGAGGCAACATAGGGGCTGAAGCAGGCTGGAAATGCAAAGAGGCTTTTTTTGGGCCAGTCTTTACTGCAGGCAGGGGTCAAAACACAAGTGGGCAAGAGCAAAGGAGGATCCGTATCCACAAAACCAGGAGACAGAAGAAGGGTCAAAACAGGAAAACAGGACAAATCGAAACTATGGCTTGCTGCTCAAGTGTGAAACACAGAGACTTAGCAACCTCTAAACCAAGGAAAGGGGTTTATTTGAGGTAGTTAATGAGTCAGGATGACTTGCAGATGTGCAAGTGGGTGGATCCCGGGAGAGTTCTAGTAGAGTCTCCCCGAGAGGGTGGGGTGGGGTACATGACAACAGACCTCTAAACTGATCACTGGCTATTCCTCTAGGTTAGCAAGCCAAGGTCACTTTACACCTCAACTGAGCCACAGCGCAACCTGCATCTCGCAAATTCGCTAGCATTTGCTTATGCTGTGCTTTTCAGTGCTTGTTGCAAATGAGACGATCGTAACTGCTGTGAATAGCAGATCGCAAAAATGGTTTGTGGGAATCAGATCCTGAGATTTCCAGCTTTCTAACAGTGTTTTACATAAGTGGACGATGGACCGTGGACGATTTGATGCATAAAAAACGTAAACTAATGACAGAAGTGCACCGGTACTGCAAAGAATCCTTAAATAGAACCTTTTTAGCAATTTAAAGTAGGTGAAAAAGGTTCAACCATCAGCGCACTACGCCGCTATTAAAAGATTTCCAGAAGAGATGAAGTTATTGAAATATATCAGTCTAAAAAGCCATTTCTGAGGCTCTGGGACTCAAACCAGAGTGAAAGCCATTATCTCCAAATGGACAAAGCCTCCCTGGTGAATCATCCCAGAAACGGCTGGCCTATCAAAAAGAGCACAGCGACGACTCATCCAGGAAGACACTAAAGAGCCCAAATGAACATCTATGGAACTTCACCTCAGATAAGGTCAGCGTCCACCATTAGAGAGAGACTAGGGGGCAAAAATAGTATCTATGGAAGAGTTCTAAGGTGAACCACTGCCAACCAAAAGGACCATAAAGGCCATGAAGACACCTTGATGGCACCCAAGCCTTTAGGAATAATGTTCTGTGGACTTGGTCAAAAGTGGAAGACAGGAGGCCTGTTACACCTGCCATAAAGGACTCAGCATTCCATACTGAGAACTGTGAAGCATGGTGGTGGTAGTGTGAAGGTAGGGATCTGGGGGTGACTTGCCATAATTGACAGAGCCATGAATTCTGGTTTTTACCTGCTGCATTGGGTTCTGCAGCAGGTACAACAAATGAGTAAGACTTGTTTGTTTGAGTTGTTTTTGTCAACATTTGGGAGCTACTAAAAATTGACAGCTAGCAATCAGCCACTTTGACCATTTTAGACTTGTTCTTTAATAGTTGCTTTAATGAAGCATTGTTATTCACATGGCTATTAACTATCATCTAAAATTAAATGATCACGACAGAAGTCCCGGTCATAAATGGACATGTATGCCTTTGGTCTAAAGAGTAGTCGTTGGCCTCCGCCACTTTATTCCACTTTCAAATCCTTTGCTTACAAACAAATCCTTCAGACCTCCGTTCACAGAATTCCAACACAACTGCGGCCAGTTCCGTAGAAAAGTCTAGACCTTTTCACACTAAAACACCAAAGATAAATCTTTTGTGTTGCCACAAAAATAAAAAATAAAATACGTGTGGTGTCTACGATCCTGTGGTGACGAGAATAAAGGACCAGCCGTGCATTCATTAAATGCCTCCATGGTGAAACAGTGTGGAGGATTTCTTACAGGACCTGAGATCGCTTGAAATAAGGGTCAGCTGGAGTTATCTAAGTGTCCGTGTTATTGCATTCCTGACCGTGCAACGCATTCAACAGATAAAGCAAAAAGCTCCTAGGAATGAAAGCTTGGGCACAGCGTGATGTCGAATTAGCAGAGGATTGTGGGATAAGGACCTTGAAGGTGCGCTGCATGGTGGACTCACCGCACGATGAAGGCTCGTCAGAATGATCGCCGCAGTCATCGTCTCGATCGCACCTCCAGTTCTCGGGGATGCAGCGGCCGTTCTGGCAGGAAAACTGGCCGGCCTGGCAAGTCTGGGCTGAATAAAAAAAAAAAGCAGAGAAATAAATAAACAAACAAACAAGTGCATTTTAACAAAGCTTTGTTATCCATAATTCATAACCTATTGTTTTGTACAAGGTTTCCCATTAACCCCCCTGATGTTTGCACCTTGAAAGGCCTCGTCTTACATTCTGCCTCATCATTTCTGACTCAGAGGTCTTTCAAACAGGAGAAATTGTGTGGAAAGTGCAGATTCTACATATCCATTCCAGACCACACTTGTGTTTGTAAGTAGACAAAATGATATTTTATTATGATTTTGCATCTGATGAATGTGACTTTCACTCAAAGCATCTTTCCAGAAATGTAGGTGCGTCACTCTAATATGCATTGTTGAAGGACAATCTGAAAATATGACTAAGAACCCCTGAGAGGAACCGAGACTCAGGAGAAACTCCTTAAGAGCATGAGGAAGAACCCTGAGTGGAACCATGACTTAAAGAAGAACATTGATTAGAGGAAGAACTAATGAAAATAACCAAGACTTAAAAGGAGAAAGTCCCTAAAAGCATGAACGAACCACAGAGTGGAACCAAGACTGAAATGAAGAAGCTCAACAACACTATGAGGAAGAGCCACTGAGAGGAACCAAGACTCAAAAGGACAAACCTTTTAAGACCATGAAAGAACCACAGAGTGGAACCAAGATTAAAATGAGGAACATCAACAAGAATATGAGGAACCAAGACTTTACCTACCTAAGAGCATGAGGAGGAGCCGCTGAGAAGAACCAAGATTCAAAAGGAGAACCTCAATAATAGCATGAAGAAGAATCACTGAGACAAACTGAGGCCCAAAAGAAGAAACTCTCTAAGAGCATGACGAAGAACTACTGAGAGGAACCAAGACCAAAAAGGAGAACCTTGATAAGAGTGTGAGAAAAAACCACTGAGAGGAACCAAGCCTAAAATGAGGAACTTCAATCAGTGTATGAGGAAAAAACACTGAGAGGAAACAAGACTCAAAAGAAGAACCTCTCTTAAGACCATGGGGCAGAACCACTGTAAGGAACTAGACTTAGAAGGAGTAAACTGCCTAAATCCATGAGGAAGAAGCACTAGGAGGAGCCAAGACTCAAAAGAAGAACCTTGATAAGACCTTAAGGAAGAACTACTTAGAAGAATCAAGACTCAGAAGGAGAACTTCTCTAACGGCATGAAGAGGAACGCTAAGTGGAACCGAGACTCTAAAAGAACAATCTTCCTAAGAGAAAGAGTGACACTCATTGCTGAGATGAAGAGTTCTAAAGGGTTTCTCCTCGACCCTGTAGAACGTGGTGAAGGAGTCCAGTCTGAGTGAGCTGCTGTTTGTTTTAGTGTCCAGTCCATCTGGGTTTGATTCCAGCTGAAGTCAGTTATGCTGAGACTGGACGCTGGGCTGGACTCCAGGGCTTTTATACGTTACACCTGCTTTACAGGACGTGTTTTATGTAAACTGGCGAGGAGTTCAGGAGCTGAGGAGACAGACTGGAGTGGAAACAAAGGGTTTAAACTCCTAAACATCTGAAGTTTTCACTTTTTTATGCAATCAGAAAGTTACATAATTAATAACTTAGTCTTCTAACATTTTCTGTTTGTTTCGGTGTGAAAAAGTTACAAAAATGTAAAGAAATTTTTCTTTTTGTACTTAGAATCTGAACTTTTTACACGATTTCTCCACTGAGTGAACTTCTAAAGGTCAACAAAAAGTGCACTATAATTATGAAATTTTATCAAATTAATTTCATTCCACCCGTTAGCTAGGATGGAGAACCATTTTGGTAAACAAGACATGGAAGTGTGAAGAACCTTTCTACACTTGAATGAACTTCCACATTATGTAAAGAACCCTTAAGTTGGTGTAGCACCTTTAAATTATGTGAAGATTCTCTTTCAAACATGGTTCTTTAATTGAACCAACTGAGGTTCTTTCATGGCTTCTGAAACACATGAAGCTCCACCGTATCTTGTCAACCTACCACAAACAGAACATCGCTGGACCTCAACACGCTTGGAGGAGTACGCTAATTGCTAATTCTGTTATGTCAGCTAACAGATGTCCGTGTTAGCCAGCATCACACCGAGTGATGGGGGGGTAGAACGAGGACCACCCTACCCACCCAGAGAAAGAGAAGACTAGTAAGATCACTTACTGATGGCTGTGGCATCACCAGCGTCTGAACACATAACCCTCTCACTATACACTCTTAAAAAAAGATGGTTCTTCAAGGGTTCTTTAGTAAAGACAATGGTTCTATATAGAACCATGAACATTCAAGGAAACATTTGCATGCTTAAATGGTTCTTCAGATTGAAGAAGAATGTGTTAAATATGGTTCTATCTCAAACTTTTTATAAAAGGGTTCTATATAGCACTGTTCCACTGATGAAACCGATCAATAATAATAATTTCCATTGTGACGTGATTGTGATTCAGAATTTATGTCAGTGCATCCAACAGTAAAGGCAGCAAGGAGCTTCTTTAACACAGTGAGAGGAAACGTAGTAGATCACAGAAAGTTCCAGATCCACATGCTGATCCATTTTACTGACCAGTGTGGACAAAAACGTCCTTAGTGATTTCCTGAGTGTCCATTGGTCAGTTTCACACAGAATGTAGACGGACACACCAATCCACCAGTTCCACACGGTGAGAGGCAGATGACGTGTATCTCAGCCCCTCTTCATAGGCTCATAACTCCGGATGTGAGTCTCGTATGATCTTGAGATAAGATGGAATGGAAAGGGCGACTCTACAGATTCAGGAAGGGTTTGAACTGGACTAAGAAACATAAACAGATATAGAGACAGAAGATGATGTGTGGGCGAGTTCGTGGACCCCGGAGGGTTAAACAAAGGACAGAGTTAACCCTTTACATGGCCCATCAGTGAGCCCAAAGCTTTATTACACACTTCTATGATCTAAGAATAGCTCAGCCAGTTTGCAACGAAGTCCCTGTAGTTACTGAATAATAAGCCTTAGTATGTAATAAGACTGATTTTAAAGGGTTAAACGAATTAATTATTTACAGGCTATTATAAAACAGTAAATAACTGTATTTCATAATTACTGATATACATTTTATAACCTTTAAAATACCCTTTTAAAGTGCTAAAGTGAGACTAAGCGTCGAGTGTCAAATGCTTTTTACAGAATTTCACAGTTTGCAAGATACATATATATATATATATATATATATATATATACACATATATAATTATTTTATTGATTTATTTTTTATGCTGTGTCTGTCGGTGAGTTTCTTTTATCTCGTTTTGCTTTGAGCTCTACTTTATCTGCCACTCATTTCAGGAGAAAAATAATTACTCTGATAGTTTTTTTTGAAGTCAGTTAATACATAGCCTTCAAACATCCAGGTAGAAAAATTAATTATTTTTCCAGCTCTTTGTTAAGTGTGGTCTGACTGTTGATCCTGTTTTTAAATTACTGATGAAACAAGTCCATTTAGAGAGGAATTTCTACATAATTTACTGGTTAAGATGTAAACAGAGTCGTTCAGAGCGGTTTGGTATGAAACGCTCTGTTCTAGATAAAAGTCAGAACTGTTCACAGTGGTGGTGATAGGAACCAGACGTCCACCTCTAAAAGCTCCCCCACAGAAAGTTCCTACATGAAATGGTTATGAATTCACTGCCTGATGACTGAGACACTGTTTTATGATCGTTTAGAGAACTTAAACTCCATTCATGGTGGAGGGATACATGCAGGGCGCTGTGAGGCAAAATAGTCCCCAAAGAAAACTTATTATTTCAGATTTTCCACTATTTTCCATCATCAACATTCCAAGACTCGTGTAGGTTCACTGGTGGTTCTGGATAGTAAATAAAATGTCTATATCTGTGTTGTAGTCATGGCGACCCCTGGTTCCTATCACCACCACTGTAAAGACATCTGAACCATTTCACACCAAACCACTCTGAATCTCTCCGTTTAAATCTCACACACTGAATTATGGGGGAAAGAATAAAAAATCTGAGGTTGGTTAAATTCTTCCAAGCTAGCCTGTGGCCCAGAAACTGAACCATGAATAAGGTGAACTGTTAGGCCTCCACCGAGAACCATAAATCTTCATGTGTAAGATTATGTAATGGGCCAGAGATAAATAATACACATAAACACACACAAACACACAAAAACACACACAAACACACACAAACACACACACTGTGATGCTTAACCTCAAACTCTTCACTACATAAAAGCCACGAAGGTTCAGTTTCCACACTCTGAGAGTAAACCTCTCTGTCAGAGATGAAGAGCTCACCATGCATGACTAAACCAGAAATCTCAGGCTTTAGGTCAGAGTGGTGAAGTGCAGGTGTGTCCAATCTACTCTGACACATACAGGATTTATAGTAATGCAGCAGCAGAACTCAGCAAAATGACCAGCTTTAACTTCCCCACAAAGTGGATCTGCTCCGCTGTCAGCGCTGTCGGGGTTAAAATAACACCACTCATATCACAGCCAATCAGCTTCTGTGGGAGAAGCCTCTATATTTGGGGGGCTTTGAGTAATCTGAGAGCTATAACGCTGTTACTATATGTTTGCAACTCATTACTGTCTAAATCTGACCGCGTCTGGAGGTCAGTTCCCACAGTCCTACACAATCAGAAGGGGCTATTTGATATTACAGTATTACAGCACCCGGGCGGTTTGGGACAAAATGTTGAATATGTTGACCAAAACGGGCCACAAAACTGTATGCAAACATGTATTATTATTATTATTATTATTATTATTATTATTACTGATTGCAACCACTTGGAACAACCTCATAGCATCCACCAGAGATACTGGCAACCACTTGCAATACACTAGCAACCACATAGAACACCATAGCAACCACCTTGCAACTGCTAGAGATAACACTGCAATCACCAAGAAATGCCCTGGCAACCACCTGGGATACCACCTAGTAATATTCTAGCAACCACGTTGTAAATCCTATCAACCACCTATTAACACTTGGAACACAATAGCAACCTCCTATCTACATCCTGGCAACCATCTGGAATAATTTAGCAACCACCAAGCAACGCCTTAGCAACCACCTGGAACACCACAGCAATCACCTACCAACACCTTGACAATCACAATAGATATCATAAGAACCACTTAGCAATACCCTAGCAACCACTTGGGATATCACTGCAGCCACCTAGCAATAGTTCTTCTTCTTCTTCTTCTTCTTCTTATTATTATTATTATTATTATTATTATTATTATTATTATTATTGATTGCACATTGCAACAACTTGGAACACTATAACAGCCCCATATCATCCACCAGAGATACTAGCAACCACCCTGCAATACACTACTGATACCATTGCAACATGCTAGCAACAACATGGAACACTATAGCAACCACTTTGCAACTGCCTGGGATACCACTGCAATCACGAAGCAACGCCCTGGCGACCTACCACCCATCCACACCCTTGCAACCACCTTGAACATAATAGCAACCACCTATAAACACAATATCAACAACCATCTGAAATACTACAGCAACTACCAAGCAACACCCTAGCAACCACCTGGGATATCATTGCAACCACTTAGCAATAGATACTATTAGTAGTAGTAGTAGTAGTAGTAGTAGTACTAGATTTCTAATGCATAATAGTAATTATCGTACAATTATTATGTCTTGAATTATTAATTAAATAATAATGAGCAATAATATTAATATTATTAATATTTATTTTATTATTTTTATTATTGCACAGATACAAGTCAGGCCTTCAGTGCTCTGTGTGCTGTGAGGATCAGAGTTTCAGTGCTAACTACACAGCTACATAACGAGTTACACCTGCATTCAGTTTATACGGCTGTTACACAATTTACACCATCACTAGAGATTATTTTTTACAAAGTGCCGTTAAATATTACAAATAATTTGCTAAATTGTATTTTTTAATGTTTATATTCTATATCTCCAGAATTCTGCTAACAAGAACAGAATACAACTAGAAATAAAATACTGTAAATTTATTGGTTCACTTTAGAATCTAAAATTCTTAATTTGTACAGCTTTCTGAGTGTTTGAGACTAATACACATTTATCTGCAATCAGATTGTAATTTTTTTTATTGCTGAAATCATTTATTCTGAATAATTCAAAATGGTCTGACCATGTGTGTCTCTATATTTTGCTGTTTTGGTTGATATGGGAACTTTACTGGAGAAGGCAAAAACCTACTTTACTTTTAATGTAAGTCAATGGAACCAGACAAGTCGTTTTGGGTCGTTTCTTTTGGTCCATTCTTCATTTATACAGTGTGAGTATGAGTATGTTTTAGCTGTTCTACACTGTATACACTGTAATACCTGCAGAGTCTTAGCAGTGCTGATAAAAATGAACTAAATATTGTGTGTATTTTTACTGCCCAGAAATAATGAAACCTTCTCTGGAGTCCTAGAAATCCCTGACTGATCCCTCTCTGACTGTTCAGTTAAACAACTGGAGAAACTGCAGCTTCTAAACTTTCAGTCCACCTGAAATACGAAGCCGTTATTATGAGCAGAGCGACAATAATAACCGCAGAACTCTGAGGGTTAAACAGAGAAAGGACAGTGAAAAAGTGGTGAATTGTTCGAGGGCCACCAGCGTCCACTCTCTCAGAGGCTTAAACTCAGCGATGTGAGACTGATGTGTGTGTGTGTGTGTGTGTGTGTGTGTGTGTGTGTGTGTGTGAGTGTGTGTGTGTGTGTGTGTTTGTGTGTGTGTGTGTGTGTGAGTGTGTGTGTGTGTGTGTGTGTGTGTGTGTGTGAGTGTGAGTGTGTGTGTGTGTGTGAGTGTGTGTGTGTGTGTGTGTGTGTGTGTGTGTGAGTGTGTGTGTGTGTGTGTGTGTGTGTGTGTGTGTGTGTGTGTGTGTGTGAGTGTGTGATGAATTACGCTGGCAAGCGTGAAGCTATTTTACACACAGGCTTTACCACCGCAGGGGCCGAGTGACACACAGGCCCCAGACAACGAGGGAAATTATACATTCTCTCTCTCTTCCTCTCGCTCTCCCGCTTCTCTCTCCCTCCCTCTTTCTGCTTGATTACTCTGCCGTGTGCTCCGGCTCAGAGCTCCATCTGGGCCAGGGATCCTGGGATTTGGAGTAACTCACCTGAGCAGGTGATGTTGGAGGGCTCCTCACTTGAACGGGTGAGTTTACAATGTTTCTCTAATGAGCGGGTGAGGTTAGAGTGATTCACCTGAGCAGCTGAGGTTGAAGAGATTCACCTGAGGAGGTGAGGTTGGAGTGATTCTCACCTGAGCAGGTGAGGTTGGAGTGATTCTCACCTGAGCAGGTGAGGTTGGAGTGATTCTCACCTAAATAGGCAAGGTTGGAGTGATTCTCACCTGAGGAGGTGAGGTTGGAGTGATTCTCACCTGAGCAGGTGAGGTTGGAGTGATTCTCACCTGAGCAGGTGAGGTTGGAGTGATTCTCGCCTGAGTAGGTGAGGTTGGAGTGATTCTCACCTGAGCAGGTGAGGTTGGAGTGATTCTCACCTAAATAGGCAAGGTTGGAGTGATTCTCACCTGAGCAGGTGAGGTTGGAGTGATTCTCACCTGAGCAGGTGAGGTTGGAGTGATTCTCACCTGAGGAGGTGAGGTTGGAGTGATTCTCACCTGAGCAGGTGAGGTTGGAGTGATTCTCACCTGAGCAGGTGAGGTTGGAGTGATTCTCACCTGAGCAGGTGAGGTTGGAGTGATTCTCACCTGAGGAGGTGAGGTTGGAGTGATTCTCACCTGAGCAGGTGAGGTTGGAGTGATTCTCACCTGAGGAGGTGAGGTTGGAGTGATTCTCGCCTAAATAGGCAAGGTTGGAGTGATTCTCACCTGAGCAGGTGAGGTTGGAGTGATTCTCGCCTGAGGAGGTGAGGATGGGGTGTGTCTCACCTGAGCAGGTGAGGTTGAAGAGATTCTCACCTGAGTAGGTAAGGTTAAAGTGATTCACCTGAGCAGGTGAGGTTAGAGTGATTCACCTGAACAGGTGAGGTTAGAGTGATTCACCTGAGTGGATGAGGTTGGAGTGATTCACTTTAGTTGGTGAGTTTGGGGTGATTCATTTGAGTCGATGCAGTTGCAGTAATTCACTTGAGCAGGTGAAGCTGGAGAGACTTACCTGAGCAAGTGAGGTTGGAATGTTTCTCACCTGAGCAGGTGAGGATGGGGTGTGTCTCACCTGAGCAGGTGAGGATGGGGTGTGTCTCACCTGAGCAGATGAGGTTAGCCTCGTCCTCGTTGTTGCCGCAGTCGTTGGCACCGTCACACAGCCACTTCTTGGGGATGCAGCGGCCGTTCTGGCAGCGGAACTGATCCAGCGGGCAGCTGCGGTTCGCTGAGAAAAATAGGAATGCAAATATAAATAACTGTGTAACCTCCTTTAATCATACAGTCTCTCATTATTTACAGTAACTACATTTAAATTAATATGTAATTTATGGAAAAACAACAAAATTTCAGACTTTAAGGTTTTGTATTTTTCAGGAGAGAAATAATGAGACACGTACAGCAGAGGTGTGGTTCTTCATCACTGCCGTCTGAACAGTCATCATCACCGTCGCAGCGCCAGGACAGCTGGACACAGCGCTGATTCCGGCACTGGAACTCACCTGGACCGCACTGCTTAGGGTGGGACAGCACGGTTGAGTCTATAGAGAACACAGACAGAGGCCACTTACACAGAGGAATAAGAGGAAATCAGCACTGTTACAAGAAAAAAATGTTTTCACACCATTTAAAATTTCCAGCTGTGAACATTTCAGGATGAACGGACCAACAGACAGAATCATTTCGACGAACCACAGCCTGAATAATATCGTTATCGGTGAACATTTCGCTAAGAATAAAAATCTTTTTTTGTGGTTGCTGCATTGTTGGGATTCGAACCCATGATCTCCTGATGATGCAGTAAAACCATAAACAGCTGTGCTAATATGACTCACACTATATGACAGTAATATAGGCTGGGAAATAAAGGTGAATCTGAATACCAAACATCTGGAAACACCATTTCTGTGTATTGAACTAATAATAAATAATAAGAAAAATGAAAGTTAATTAATAGAAACTAAACGAACCTGGGTAGCTCCACCCACCACATACCAATATTTTTATTATTTAATAAGAGTTTCTTCTATTTAGGTTAAAATATGTGGTTATAAAGAATTGACAATCATATCAACATGTAAAGTATTGTTTATTGAAACTACTGCAGTGTAACATTAAAACTACACATTTTAATTAATTTAATTTTCTAAACGTTAATATAAACACTCAATTTCACTGGCCAAATTTATAGGTAAAATTCAAATTGAAATTTAGAATTTGTGGTCCCTCAACGCTCTTTTGCATATTGTTGCCTCAAGGCAAGAAATCTATTTTAAATATGGATTCGATATGAAATTATGCGAATGAGTTTACTGAGCTTGTTCAAAGTCAGAGCAGAAACATTTAGGACTTTTAACTGATCTTGGACTTTAGACTAAAATCTTTTTGCTCTGAGTGACTCTAAACCTTAATCATGTTTGTTTTATTAAAACTAATGATTGAACGTTCCATTTTGTCTCTGCCAAAACAATCATAATTCTACCCAAACTGTACCAAATGTTTCAGTAGTGTCTGTCTCAGTAGTGTCTGTCTCAGTAGTGTCTGTCTCAGTAGTGACTGTTTCAGTAGTGTCTGTCTCAGTAGTGTCTCAGTAGTGTCTGTTTCAGTAGTGACTGTCTCAGTAGTGTCTGTCTCAGTAGTGACTGTCTCAGTAGTGACTGTTTCAGTAGTGACTGTCTCAGTAGTGTCTGTTTTAGTAGTGACTGTCTCAGTAGTGACTATCTCAGTAGTGTCTGTCTCAGTAGTGTCTGTCTCAGTAGTGACTGTGTCAGTAGTGACTGTCTCAGTAGTGTCTGTTTTAGTAGTGACTGTTTCAGTAGTGACTGTCTCAGTAGTGACTGTCTCAGTAGTGTCTGTTTTAGTAGTGACTGTCTCAGTAGTGTCTGTCTCAGTAGTGACTGTCTCAGTAGTGACTGTCTCAGTAGTGTCTGTCTCAGTAGTGACTGTCTCAGTAGTGTCTGTCTCAGTAGTGTCTGTCTCAGTAGTGTCTGTTTCAGTAGTGACTGTTTCAGTAGTGTCTGTTTTAGTAGTGACTGTTTCAGTAGTGACTGTCTCAGTAGTGACTGTCTCAGTAGTGACTGTCTCAGTAGTGTCTGTTTCAGTAGTGACTGTCTCAGTAGTGACTGTCTAAGTAGTGCCTGTCTCAGTGGTGACTGTTTCAGTAGTGACTGTTTCAGTAGTGTCTGTCTCAGTAGTGTCTGTCTCAGTAGTGACTGTCTCAGTAGTGACTGTTTTAGTAGTGACTGTCTCAGTAGTGACTGTCTCAGTAGTGTCTCAGTAGTGTCTGTTTCAGCAGTGTCTGTTTCAGTAGTGACTGTCTCAGTAGTGCCTGTCTCAGTAGTGTCTGTTTCAGTAGTGACTGTTTCAGTAGTGACTGTTTCAGTAGTGACTCTCTCAGTAGTGACTGTTTCAGTAGTGACTGTTTCAGTGACAATTTTAGCTCATTCTGAGCTCAGAAACTCAGCAGGTCATGACCAGCAAACACAGCTTTGAACAGCTGTTCACACAGAAAATCATCATATTTTACATTAAAACACTAAAAAGTGCTGAACTGCAGAAAATATGAAGATTCTTAATGTTCCACACTGATTTTCAGACTTTGGGACTCATTTACTTCAAAACAATGGGATCTAACTGCTCACCATGTACCCATGAGGGACAGGGATGCAGCCTCACCTTCCGCTCCCTAAAACACAGGGGCGTGGCTACAATAAGGCTCCGCCCACATATTAAAACTCTGTGTTTCGGTAGTGACACAAAAGCACAGGACAGTATTTTCTATTTAAAAGTTAAACTCGTGATGAATCTAAATGTTTCAGCTTCACTTTCAGAGAAAAAATAAAACTACATTTTAAACAAAATTGCAAATCAAATGTAAATATTATTTCCACAAGTGTAAATTTAGGGGTTAGGGTTTGGGACAGACTCCTCCCAACAGAAAGTACCCTATAAATGATAATTGTGTATATATTTAGTTTATTAATTAGTTAATTAGTTCATTAATATCTCTCTTAATTAATATTTCACTGTTTATTTATTTATTTGTTTATTTATTTTACTGTGGAGGCTCAGTTTAATTCAGCAGACCGCTCCACAGCATGTCTGCTGATATCCTGCAATCAGGATCAATAGACTTATTCAGAGTTATATAAACATATCTGATCAGCTGGCATATTCTCATCGATCACTGCTCCTATTGATCAGGCTTTGTGGGTGTTGTATTGATCAGCCTGCGTCTCCGTCCTGCTTAAGCACATATACTCACAGTCTCTGGACCCAAGCTTGTTGTGCTGACCTCACCTGACCCTGACGTGACCTCCCAATCCTCCTTCACTCTTTTAGCCATAAACTGACCTTCTGAACTCTCTTTTCACTGCCCTTTACGGCGCCCTTCCACTGACCTCCCCACTCGCTCTTCTGATAAATGGAACACTGGGCCTCGTTCTCCAATCTCCTCTTAAGTTTGTTCTTAAGTGTGTTCTTGAGAAAGATCCTACGAAAATGTCTCCGTCAGGTTTATGACGTGTTCTTAAAGCGCAGAACTGTTCTCACCTGTGTGTTCTTGAGTGTGTGTAGATTCTGTTCTTACCTGAGAACAAACCCCACATAAGAGAACAGTGGAGAGTCAGAGTCTTCGTTAAAACTTGAGTGAGTTTAAGAAGGAATTTCTTCCTAAGAACAGTTGGAGAACGAGGCCTGATGTTCTTTCTCCTGCTGTTCAAAGGTTCGAGGACATCTGGTCTGGTCCATATATATCACACAAATATTATATTCAACTCATTAATATTCCAATAGAGGAAAAATCCATCATTAACAAGACTCCACCCATATGTCTTCCCTCCAAACCCCGCCCTAATTCCTCCAGCCCACCTTCACTGTGAAAAATTTGATAAATTGAAAATTTGTCAGGCTTTATTTTATTTCCTCATCTTCATTTAGTCAGAAGTTTAGTGCAGATTTTAGTTCTACATCTCAGTTAAAAAAAAAAAAAAAACAATAAAATAAAAAAATAAATAACAAAAAAACAACTTTTGTCGAAAATGATTAAACATTTAGTTGGATTTTTACTCAAATCTGCTGAAATTGCTTCGTTATTTTCCTCACTCACTTTCTGAGCCCAGTTTAGTCACTGCTTATTCCTACACTCTTCAAGCGTTCTTAAGTAAAGGCAATGGTTCTATTTAGAACTACAAGGTCTTTGTAGAACCATTTCATGCCCAAATTCTTCTTCAGACTGATGGAGAATGTGTTGTATATGATTCCATATAGAATGTTTTTGCAAATGGTTCTATATAGCACCAAAAAGGGTTCTGCTACTGTTATCATATCAAGCTTGCAACAGTAGAAGAACTCTTTTGGTTCTACGTAGAATCATTTTCAAAAAGATTCTATAAAGAACCACATACAGCACATTCTTCTTTATTAATGTTAATGGCTCTATTCAGAAATACAAGTTCTATATAGAACCATTTCATGCTTAAACCCTTTTTGGTTCAACACAGAACCATTTTCTATTTAGAACCAGATACCACAGGTTCCATTTAGGCATGCAAATGGTTCTTTGAGTGTTCATGGTTTTAAATAGAACCATTAGCTTACTAAAGAACTGTTGAAGAACCATCTATTTTAAGGGTGCACCCAGAGAAACGGGCTGCTTTTGAAACAGTTAGAAACACTGCCTGTGTACTGCTGGCTAAACGTTCCAGTGTGTCCAGTACGCTGCAGCCTAAAATGCAAAGCTTGGACGTAATCGATGATGGAACCGAGTGGAAGTACAAGTTCCACCAGGACACCACTCCCCTTTCTTGAGCTCCACCTTTACAAAGTGTTGGGTGTATTTAGAAATAAAAAATGATTAAAAAATTAAGCGTCAGAGTGGAAATATTAATATCGTTAATAAAAAAAAAAAAAGTGACGTGTGAGTTGGGGGTCAGAGGGTTTACCTGAGCAGGTGAGGTTGTCTTTCAGTAGGTGCTGACCATCTGCACATGCACACACTCGGCCAGTAGGTATCGTCAGACACAGAGCAGCTGCACCACAACCTCCTCGGTCAACAGAGCAAGCGCTATTACCTGAGAGAGAGAGAGAGAGAGAGAGAGAGAGAGAGAGAGAGAGAGAGAGGGAGGGGGGGGCAGTTGATCTGTCATTGATCAATCAAACAAATCAGTATATGGGAAGGGTGAGATGGTGAAAAACTTGTGCTTCCACTCACTGGCCACTTTATTAGAAACATCTACTTTGTACTTCCACTAACTGGCCACTTTATTAGAAACATCTACTTTGTACTTCCACTAACTGGCCACTTTATTAGAAACAGCTACCTTGTACTTCCACTAACTGGCCACTTTATTAGAAACACCCACCTTATGATTCCACTAACTGGCCACTTTATTAGAAACACCTAACTTGTGCTTCCACTAACTGGCCACTTTATTAGAAACAGCTACCTTGTACTTCCACTAACTGGCCACTTTATTAGAAACACTTACCTTGTGCTTCCACTAACTGGCCACTTTATTAGAAACACCTACCTTGTACTTCCACTAACTGGCCACTTTATTAGAAACACCCACCTAATGCTTCCACTAACTGGCCACTTTATTAGAAACACTCACCTTATGCTTCCACTATCTGGCCACTTCATTAGAAACACCTACCTTGTACTTCCACTAAATGGCCACTTTATTAAAAACACCTACCTTGTGCTTCCACTAACTGGCCACTTTATTAGAAATACCCTGTCTGTGCTTCCACTACTGGCCACTTTATTAGAAACACCCACCTTATGCTTCCACTAACTGGCCACTTTATTAGAAACACCTACCTTGCACTTCCACTAACTGGCCACTTTATTAGAAATACCCTGTCTGTGCTTCCACTCACTGGCCACTTTATTAGAAACACTCACCTTATGCTTCCACTATCTGGCCACTTTATTAGAAACACCCACCCTGTACTTCCACTAAATGGCCACTTTATTAGAAACACCTACCTTGTACTTCCACTACTGGCCACTTTATTAGAAACACCCACTTTATGCTTCCACTAACTGGCCACTTTATTAGAAACAACTACCTTGTACTTCCACTAACCGGCCATTTTATTAGAAACACCTACCTCGTACACCCTGTATCACAGTATTATGATCTTCCACATTCCTTATAACAGCACCATTAGCACAGCTCCAATACTGTTACATATACACTGTAATCCTGCACAGACAGCCTTTCACTACAGATCTTTCATGCAAGGCGCTTGTATGAGTTATAAAATCACAAACATGAAAATTATTTTTCCATCTTTGACCTCCCGCGTGAGCGAAAGCAGATCAGTGTGTGAAGGCTTTCTTTGGCACCCGCAGACATTTGAATATCAGCGGGACGTTAGCGCGGGCGTCTCTGGCCAGCTGAAACGGCTCCAAACAGCCATATCTGCGCCGCAGGGGAACCGCAAACAGTTTATCCGGGAAAAATAGGCATTAAAGTAAAAACCAGGCCATTTCACTGAACAATGTAATCAGCATACGCAAAAAGAAAACATCAACCCCGTAATAATAAACCCTGTAAAGATGCTGCGGAGCAGATTTCAATCTTACGCTGAGCTCAGAAGAGTCTTAAAAACACACACAGCTTATAAAGCCTCATAATCAGTCACAAAATAATATTGACTCTGTTCCCCGGAGGCCAGCGGCAGCCATGCTATCTTTAATAACGGAGTATTAAAATAAATCTCAGCTGTGTTTTATTGAATGAGTCTCCGTGTGGTTCAACGTACAGGTGTAAACACAACCTCGGCAGCAAACTGTTCTTAAAAATAACATTTTACCGCAAACGCGCAGCTGCTAAAGGTTTGACTCACCTAAAAAATAGAAAAAATGAAAGAGTAACCACAGCAGGACTTTATAACACCCCCTCTGGCAGATTTCACAGCCTGCAAAAACTTTCGTATCCAGCCAGCGTTTTGTTTTTAAATCTAGAGCTAATGTTGTTGTTTGCACTACCACACACACTTGTATATACTGCTTGTCCCTATATAACCTTATGTTGGTTGTATGTTGTGTATTTTTTGTCTGTAAACACTGTATATTATTGTCCTTATATAGTCTGCTTATTGCTGTATACTGTGTATAGTGTATATTGTGTATTGTCTGTAAATTCATATATGCATATTGCATATAATACCAGAGAGACACCAAATTCACTGCCACCTTAAATTCAGTGACACCTTAAATTTAGCGCTACCTTAAATGCAGTGCCACCTTATATGCAGGATAAAAAATTCCTTGTGTGTGTCAACACTGCAAATCTTAATTGTAGTCGATAATTGTAATATTTCTTATTTCTTATTTCTAATATTAGTAGTAATAGTTTTGAGTAATATTTCTTAATATTACTTAAAACAACTATAAACTGTTTGGGAATAAGTTAAATTATCTTAAAATAAGCTTACAACTATCTGAACAGGACAAATATTGGATATATTGACTAGGTTTAAGATAATTCTACTTGAAAAGATACCATTTTCTGTAGTGAACATACTTGGCCAATAAATCTGATTCTGATTCTGATGTTCTAGTCAGGAAAATATAAGCATTTCTTGAAGTAGTTCATGACGAATTTCTGTTCAGCTTCACTTTCTTAACTGGTTGCATCACATTTGCCTCCAGAATTTGTCCATCTGTCCATTTCCCCATACAATGTTTCCCTGAGCCAATGGCTGCCAGACAATCCCAAAGTATAATAGATCCACCCCACAGTTGGCACGGTGTTCCTTTCATCAAATACTGCTCCTTTTTTTGTCTAACCATAGCTTTGGCCATACCTTGTGGCTAAAAAGCTCCATTTTTCCCTAATCAGTCCACAACACTTCTTTCCAGAACGCCTCTGGCTTATCTAGATTCACACTTTTACAGTGGGGATGCAGGTAAGGTTTCCTTCCAATGACTTTTCCCTGCAGATCATATTTGTGCAAGCAATGCTGTACAGTATAACAGTACAACGCCACTCCTGTTTCAGCTAAACCTCCCTGCAGGTCCTTCGCTGTCATACTGGGGTTTTACTTTGCCTTTGTGTCCGGCGTACAATCTTTTCTATCAGAGTTTTCTTGCCTTGACTTCCATGACTTCAGATTGTCAGCCTCTTAAAGGACCCCACAGTTGTTGAGTGTCAGCACAATGTTTGAAGAGTCAGAGAATTTATTTCATTCTGGAATTGTCACGAGCTGACCAGTCCTAATGAGTCAATTAAGGCCTAATGAGTTAATTAAGCTCTGAGAGTTTACAAATGAAAAGTATGTCCAAACTGTGCATCAACATTTGCAGTATTATTTTTTAATAGTTTGCTACAGGTTGTTTACCTCTTTTTAGTTCAAGAACTGACCAAATATGTAATTTAGACATTTCTTTCATTCATCATTTTTTTTTAAATAAACAAAATGTTAAACACACAATATTCTATTCGGTCTGCATCATAACAGTTTATGCTTTTTTTGCAAGATTTAAAGATTTTTGTGTAAGATTCGAATCTCTCGTTTTCTTTCGAGACAAACTAGATAATAAAGGGGTACATGCTATCTATCGCACGCTGCATAAACATCCCTGCTGATCAGCAACAACAGAAATCCCAAACAATAGTGACATAAAACGGGTCCTGAAGGAAGAAAACATTTCTTTGTTTATTTCTTTTAGTCCTTTGTATCACTTTTCGTTCATCTAATGTTTACATCTGTAGTGGATGATCAAGTATGTGAGCCATCTCAAACCTTGTGGCTCCTCACTAAGGCCCCTCATGGCCCCCAGCAATCGGAGGTCCACGGGAACTGGCCCCACTGGCCTGGTCAGTAATCCTTGCTTTCGCAGACACATGAAGCTGCACTGCATCTTTAGAAAACAGCCGCTAACATCATTAAACAGCTCAACACGCTTTGAAGACTTTGACTAACTGCTAATTCTGTTATGTCAGCTAACAGATGCCCACACTGGCTAGCACTGTGCTGAGTGATGGGGGAACAGAGGACCACCCTGCCAACCCTGCCCACCCAGAGAGAGGAAGAGGACAGTTATGATCTCTTGGACTCACGGATGGCTGTGACATCACAACTGTTCTCTCCAGCTGCACCACTCAGGAGTCAACCAGCTTATTTAGTGTTAGCACCGGAGCTACGAGGCTAATGAAGCTAAGTAATGAAGGCTTACACACCACCAATTAGCATGGTGCTAACTAGCACGACTGAATCGACACAAACCAGATGGAGTTGTTAAAGCTGAACTAAGTAAGTTTTGGATATTTGGAGACCTCTCTGGTGGAAGCATGTAATTGCATGCAAAGTGTGGAAGAACATTTATTAGTGTGGGTGGTGCTCCCCCTAGTGATCAAAAGAGAATTCAAAGAGAAAATGTGGTGAAGGAGCGTCTTCTGAGGATGTGAGTGAATTATCTAATATTGTCATCACATCTTCATCAGTGTGATGTTGATTCTGAGATCATTTGAGGCCGAAACATCGAGCCAGACCTTCTTTTAGAGTCTGTGTGTGACATTGAAACGCAAAGACGTACGACGTGGTGTGAAAAACTCGACACCTCTGATTTTTAAATGATTATTTCAGGCTATACAGGAAAAAACATAGACTAAAGTGCATTAGCAAAACAGTAGCAGCCACCTTGAAGCCTTGTCTGGACCTTTGTGGGTCAAACTGTCTGAAACCACATAAGCCAGTCTATTCGAGATGTAAGTGCTAATCGGTGGGGTATAAGCTTTCATTACTTGTCAGTTGCATTAGCCTCGTGGCTCCAGTGCTAAAACTTTAGACACCAAAGATGTTTTAGCAACAAATGACAGAAAAACGATGACTTTAATGGGAACAACACAAGATGATGGTGAGAATGTTAGAGTCTGAAATCTGAATGAATAATAGCTGTTCTTTAAGTTTTCCAGCCAGCAATGAGAATGTAAAACAACGTGTCTACGGCAAGAACACCCGGCCAAATATAAAGGGATCGATTCCAGAAACACAGGCTACTGACTGTAGCTTCATAAATAATGAAAGTCTGAATAATGCGCTAATGTTCTCTCGCTCTGTTTCTCCCTCCCTCTCGCTCTCTATAATGGTATTGAATTACATCAACTCAAACAGCATAAAGCAGTCGATTTTATTCTAACAGATCTATATTTCATTCTCAGGCTTGAGGTAATGGAATTGGAGATAAAAGGCGGCAGAAGCTGTTTCGTGTTTCAACAGCAGGAGAGGAAAGTGGACGAACAACAGAACCTACGCTTCTCCTGAACTGAAGCCTTAGACGTCATTAATTATCACCAGAAATGACAAAAGGACTGCGAAAACTTCAGAAACTGTTAGAGGCTCTGAGGTGTGAGTCTCAGTCGAGTCTTGAATCTCTGAGGTGTAAGTCTGAGTCAAGTCTCGAGTCTCTGAGGTGTGAGATCGAGTTGAGTCTCGAGTCTCTGAGGTGTGAGTCTGAGTCAAGTCTCGAGTCTCTGAGGTGAGAGTCTGAGTCAAGTCTCGAGTCTCTGAGGTGTGAGTCTAAGTAAAGTCTTGAGTCTCTGAAGTGTGAGTTCGTGATATATTGAGGTTCTAAGGTGTGAGTCTCGAAATTCTGAGGTGAGAGTTTGAATTGAGGCATGAGTCTCTGAGATGCGAGTCTGCCTCGAGTTTCAAGTCTCTGAGATGTGAGTCCAAGTTTAGTCTCAAGTCTTTGAAGTGAAGTCTGAGTTGAGTCTAGAGTATCTGGAGTGTGAGTCTGAGTCGAGTCTATGATGTGTGAGTCCAAGTTGAGCCTTGAGTCTCTAAGATGCAAGTCTGAGTCGAGTCTTGGGTTCTCTGAGGTAAGAGTGTGAGTTGAGTCTCTGAGGTTTGAAGTTGAGGTTCAAGTCTCTGAGGTGAGACCCAGTAGCATCTCGAGTCTCTGAGGTGTGAGTCTGAGTCGATTCTCAAGTCTCTGGGGTGGGAGTCTGAGTCGATTCTCAAGTCTCTGGGGTGTGAGTCTGAGTCGAGTCTCAAGTCTCCGAAGTGTGAGTCTGAGTCGATTCTCAAGTCTCTGAGGTGTGAGTCTGAATCGAGTCTCAAGTCTCTGAGGTGTGAGTCTGACTCGAGTTTCAAGTCTCTGACATGTCAGTCCAAGTTTAGTCTCAAGTCTTTGAAGTGTAAGTCTGAGTTGAGTCTAGAGTGTCTGGAGTGTGAGTCCGAGTCGAGTCTATGATGTGTGAGTCCAAGTTTCGAGCCTTGAGTCTCTCTAGATGCAAGCCTGAGTCGAGTCTTGGTTCTCTGAGGTAAGAGTCTGAGTTGAGTTTCTGGGGTGTGAAGTTGAGGTTCAAGACTCTGAGGTGAGACCCAGTAGCATCTCGAGTCTCTGAGGTGTGAGTCTGAGTCGAGTCTCAAGTCTCTGAGGTGCGAGTCATAGTCGAGTCTCAAGTCTGTAAGGTGTGAGTCAGAGTCGATTCTCAAGTCTCTGAGGTGTGAGTCAGAGTCGAGTCTCAAGTCTCTGAGGTGTGAGTCTGAGTCGAGTCTCAAGTCTCTGAGGTGTGAGTCTGAGTCGATTTTCAAGTTTCTGAGGTGTGAGTCTGAGTCGAGTCTCGAGTCTCTGAGGTGTGAGTCTGAGTCGATTCTCAAGTCTCTGAGGTGTGAGTCTGAGTCGAGTCTCAAGTCTCTGAGGTGTGAGTCTGAGTCGGCATTTTCTCCGTTTTTCTAGCGTTCTGTGCTTTAGTTAGTGCAGCCCGAGTCCAATCACACGTTACATCAGCGTAAAAGCTGCAGATTCGGCCAGGTTCGGCGTTCAGGACTAAGAGTTATGACTCTCAGAAAACTGCTGGGTGCAGAAAATCTGAAGGTTAAAATTATCATCAGGACTGTGGCTCTGATAACTGCTCCCCAGCTTAAAGTTCAGAGCTCTGTATTGTTGAGGTCTGTGGAGAAGCTGCAGTGGGATTCGGACCAGAGCGGAGCGAGACGATCCGGTACCAGCACAGAACCCGCACACCAGTTACACATTTAACCTCATTAACTCAAACTCACACTGAAAATCTGATACAGAGTAATCTGTTCAAATGACAATGGAATATATTATTGTATAAAACTAACTAAAGTCATTAATTTAAAAAAAAATGGCCGCCTGAAGTGCGAGTCCGAGTCCGAGTCGAGTCTCGAGTCTCCGAGATACGAGTCTGAAATGACTGTTGAGTATCTGAGGTGTGAGTCTGAGACAAGTGTTGAATGTCTGAGGTGCAAGTCCGAGTCAAGTCTTGAGTCACTGAGGTGCGAGTCCGAAATGAGTGTTGAGCGTCTAAGGTGTGAGTCTGAGGTCAGTCTCAAGTGTCTGAGGTGAGTCTGAGTCGAGTCTTGAGTGTCTGAGGTGCAAATCTAGGTGAAGTCTTAAGTGTCTGAGGTGAGTCTTAGTTGAATTCTGAGCCTCTGAGGTGAGTCTGAGTCGAGTCCCAAGTCTGTAAGGTGTGAGTCAGAGTCGAGTCTCAAGAATCTTGGGTCCGAGTCTGAGTCAAGTCTTGCGTTTCTGAGGTGCGATTCGATTGAGTTGAGGCTCGAGTCTGTAAGGTGCAAGTCAAAGTCAAATCTCAAGTGTAAGGTGCGAGTCTGAGTCGAGTCTCTGAGGTGTGAGTCTGAGTCGAGTCATGAGTCTAATGTGCAAGTCAGAGTTGATTCTCAAGAATATGGAGTGCGAGTCTGAGTCAAGTCTTGAGAGTCTGAGGTGAGTCTGAGGAGGTGAGAGTCTTGAGTCTCGGAGGTGCGAGTCTAAGTTGAGTTTCAAGCGTCTCAGGCGTGAGTCTGAGTCAAGTTTCTGAGGTGCGAGTCTGAGTCAAGTCTCGAGTCTGTAAGGTGTGAGTCAGAGTTGAGGTGGAAGAATCTGGGGTGCGAGTCTGAGTCGAGTCTGGAGTGTCTGGGGTGAGTCTGAGGAGTTTCGAATCTCTGAGGATAGTCTGAGATTCAAGTCTTTGAGGTGCGAGGCTAAGTCGAGTCTCGAATCTCAAGGGTCTGAGGGTGCAAGTCCGAGTTGAGTCTACGAGGTGAGTCTTGAGTGCCTGAGATGTGTGTCAAGGTCGAGTCCCGAGTCTCTAAGACGCAAGTTCGAGTTGAGTCTCAAGTCTCTGAGGTTTGAGTCTGAGTCGAGTCTCGAGTCTGAGGTCTGAGGTGAAGAATCAAATCAATGAAAATTGAGCAGGAAGAGAAAATAACGTTAATTAAAGAAAATTGGAGTACATGGAGGAAATAAGTCGACTAAAACTTTCTACATTAGAAAAACAAGCAGATTTTTTTAATAAAACAAGGAAATAAATTAATTTAAACTTTTCAATAATTTTAATTGAATGTTAATTAAAGTTCTGTTGGCTGTTTTGACTGAAGACTAAATGAAATCTTGCTCTCCTGACTTAAACTCAGAACAGATCAGACTGTAAAGGTTCTCAGTGTTCACCTTTCTGCTTCTGCGGGTCGTAAACCTGCAGGCCGAACAGCGGCGGGTTCTCCCTCCTCAGCAGAGAGACGTTCCCTGATAACAGATCCAGCCGGAAAATGGACGCGTTCATGTAATCCGTCCAGAAAATGTAATTCTGGTAGTGTGAAATTCCAAAGGGGTGATTCAGCTCCTTCCCGTCGTAGACCACCTTCGGGAAGAGAGCGCAGGAACAGGAGAGATCAGGAGGAAAAACAGAGGGATTAGACTGGAAAACCAAACAGGAGCAGCTCCTCACATCAGCCTTATACCCTCACCCACTCCAACACACCTGACTCAGATCAGCAGCCAATCAGGGCCTTCGGAATCAGGCTCAGGTGTGCTGGAGCAGAGACCCCTAACGAGGACTGAGAGGGGAACCGGCAGCCTGAAGGTTTTAAACTGGAACATTTCTATTTTACAGGATTTGAGGAAAATTTAAGGATAACGGAAACTATTAATTTCCAAAATATACAGTCATCATTACAGACCTGATTCATATTATTCATATTATTCATCCGTCCATCCATCCCTTTATCCACCTATTCATTTATTTAATCCATCCACCCAACCATTCATCCATTCTTTTACCCAATCTGTCATTTAATCCGTCCATCCTTTTATCCACCTACTCACCCAATCATTCATTACATTTATTGATTCACCCACTCATTTGTTTAATCCACCCATCCATCTATCCATCCATCCATCCCTTTATTCAGTAATTTATTGTATCTATTGAACCATCCATCCACCCTCTCAGCCATTCATCTATTCTTTTATCCATCCATCCATCCATCCACCCTCTCAGCCATTCATCTATTCTTTTATCCATCCATCCATCCATCCATCCATCCATCCATCCATCCATCCATCCATCCATCCATCCATCCCTCCTTCTGGCCATTCATGAGTCTCTGTGTGTGGGTTTTGGGTTCTGTGCTCTGGTGATCGGGTCTGATGGAGGTCAGAGGTTCTGTTGTGATCTCTGGTGAACGTTCTTTAGTACTTTCTCTGTTTAATTAAATGCATTTTTAAATGTAGAAATAAAGAAACAGAAGGAGTTCTTACGGTTCTGCGGGTTCCGTTGAGGTAGATTTTCTCGATGTGGTCGTAATACGCGTCACACCAGTACAGGGTGCTGCTGGACGGATCTATGGTCAGTCCGTTGGGCCACAGCATGTTGGAGGAGATGAAGGTCTGACGGTGAGATCCGTCCATCCACGCCTTCTCTATCCTTCCTCTGCTGTCGTTCACGTCGTCCTCCTCCCAGTCCGTCCAGTACATCCAGCTAAAGGACCAGACAACATGTTCACTTGTTCATTTGATCAGTGATTCACTCATTCATTTAGCCAGTCATTCATTCAGCCAATTATTTGTTCATTCATTCATTCATTCATTCATTCATTCAGCCAATGATTCATTCATTCATTCAGCCAATGATTCATTCATTCATTTATTCATTCAGCCAATGATTCATTCATTCATTTATTCATTCAGCCAATGATTCATTAATTCGTTCATTCAGCCAATGATTCATTCATTCATTCAGCCATTCAGCCAACAATTCATTCATTCATTCAGCCAATGATTACATTCATTCTTTTCTCAAACAATCATATTCTTTTATTCATCCATTCAGATTTGTATACGCCCTATTCATCTGTTCATTCCTTTATCCATCCTTTCATTATTTTATCCATCACTCATTTTTCGTTTATTCAATTAATTCCTCCATGAATAATCCCTCCATCTGTTTTTTAATTCATTCATCTGTTTAGCCACCCATTAATTACCTCTAGCATCCATCAGTTCATCCTTCCATTGATCCATCCATTCATCCATCCATCCATCCATCCATCCACCCACTCATGCATCCACATTCTCAAAAAAGATGGTTCTTTAAGATTTCTTTAGTAAAGATTATGGTTCTATATAGAACCATGGACACTCAAAGAACCCTCTGCATGCTTAAGTGGTTCGTTGCATGGTGAAAGCGTTCTTCAGACTAATGGAGAGTGTTGTATATAGGGTTCTTATAAGCTTGACCTCATAACAATAGCAGAACTCTTTTTGGTGCTATATAGAACCCTTTTAAAAAATACAACGTGTTCTCTATAATCTGAAGAACGCTTTCACCATGCAAAGAACCATTTAAGCATGCAAATGCTTTTTGAATATTCATGGTTCTATATAGAACCACTGTCTTCACTAAAGAACCCTAGAAGTACAATCGTTTGAAGAGTGCAGTCTTATCCATCGGGCTATAGCTCTGCTCTTTAATTTACCAAACCAGTCTTCTATCAATCTATTCTTCCTCAGATCTTTCGTCCGTCCACTGTTGAGTGAGTGAGCAGCTCTTTCTGACCGTGTGACTGAACAAACACACTGGATTCCTGGTTCTCCAGGTAACTAAAGCTCAAAGCCTCCATCATCTCAGACAGACGGCATGGTTCTGCACTGTCAGTAGATCCTTTCAGTTCTCTGGAATTTCAGCTCCATTCTTCTCTGTAAGACAGCCGGCCTGTTTGGGGGGGCGGGGTCAGCAGGGCAAGGCTGGAGACGAGTGTGTTAACATAGTCAGACTGAGTTTATTCATCCTTTTAAATCAGACTGTTTCATATATCAGACAGAGAGTCCAAACGGGTTTAGTGGAAACGCGCAGTGTTTCTGAACTCTAAACCCGCAGAACACAGAGAACTTAGAGGGCCAGTGGACTTACAAAGAACCAGAGAACTTACAGGCAACCAGAGAACTTACAGAGAAACAGCAGACTTACAGGGGAACCAGAGAACTTACAGAGAATCAGGGAACATATAGGGAACCAGAGAACTCTCAGAGAACCAGTGGACTTACAGGGAGCCAGTGGATTTACAAAGAACCAGAGAACTTACAGGGGGACCAGAGAACTTAGAGAACTTACAGGGGAACCAGTGGACATAGAGGGGAACCAGAGAACTTAGAGAATCAGGGAACTTACAGGGAAACCAGAGAGCTCTCAGAGAACCAGTGGACTTACAGGGAACCAGATAACTTACAAAGAACCAGAAAACTTACAGGGGAACCAAAGAACTCTCAGAAAACCAGATAACGTACAGGGGAACCAGTGGACATAGAGGGGAACCAGAGAACTTAGAGAATCAGAGAACTTACAGGGAAACCAGAGAGCTCTCAGAGAACCAGTGGACTTACAGGGAACCAGATAACTTACAAAGAACCAGAAAACTTACAGGGGAACCAAAGAACTCTCAGAAAACCAGATAACTTACAGGGGAACCAGAGAACTACCAGAGAACCAGTGGACTTAAAAAGAACCAGAGAACTTACAGGGAACCAGAGAACTCTCAGAGAACCAGTGGAACAAGAGCACTGCAGTCAGTCTGTAGAGATTTGCTGAATATCTTTCTTTATATTCTCATCCCTTCATTCTTTGATCCATCATCTGTTCATTTATTTTATTCCTTCCTTCCATCCATCCATCAATCTCTCCATCATCCACCCACTTCACTCACTCCTTTATCCATCTATGGGTCTAACATTTAACCCCTCCATCTATTCGCTCGTGTATCCATTTATTCACCATTCCTTCTTTTAACAGTCCATCCATTTAATCATTTACTTTATTCTATCAGTTCTTCCAGTCTTCCATTCTTTCATCCATTTATTCATCAAACTATTGATCCTTTATTTTATCCTTCCACTCATTTCAATATCCAATCATCCAATCCTCTCTCTCATCACGCTTTCTCTCTTCCTTCTCCTGTCACTCCTATCTCTCTCTCTCTCCTATCTATCTCACTCTCTCTCTCTCTCTCCTACCCCTCTCTCTCTCTCTCCTATCTATCTCACTCTCTCTCTCTCTCTCTCTCTCTCTCTCTCTCTCTCTCTCTCTCTCTCTCCTCTCTCTCTCCTCTCTCTCTCTCTCTCTCTCTCTCTCTCTCTCCTACCCCTCTCTCTCTCTCTCCTATCTATCTCACTCTCTCTCTCTCTCTCTCTCTCTCTCTCTCTCTCTCCTCTCTCTCTCTCTCTCTCTCCTCTCTCTCTCTCTCTCTCTCTCTCTCTCTCTCTCTCATTATTCAGTACTCAGTGTCTGAGTGACGGTTCCTGCTGTGGAACCTCAGATCAGAAATGAGAGCAAATGTGCTCAAACTCAGAGTCACAACCGCTAATCCATCATCATACACACTACATCACACAGGAAGTGACACGCAGACACGAACAGGGGAACATAAAGAGGGGCCATCATATAAAAAAAGAGAAAAAGATAAGCAGATTGGCATGTTTTATTCCCCCGGAACAATATCAGACCAGCTTTAACTTTTCAGCTCAACATCTGGAAGATCCATCAGCAGATTCAGCAAAACATCAGCTAATGAGATAAAAGACTCAATTAAGGCTGTTATACACTCAAAAAGGAGATTAGTCTATTAACGACTTCAATAAACGCTACTATACACCAGAAAAGGAGATATCAGTCCATTAACAACGTCAATAAACATTCCCATACACTAGAATAGGAGATATTAGTCCATAAACAACCTCAATAAATGCTACTATACACTCAAAAAGGAGATTAGTCCATTAACGACTTCAATGAACACTCATATACACCAGAAAAGGAGATATTAGTCCATTAACGGCTTCAATGAACACTCATATACACCAGAATAGGAGATATTAGTCCATTAACGGCTTCAATGAACACTCATATACGCCAGAAAAGGAGATATTAGTCCATTAACGACTTCAATGAACACTCATATACACCAGAAAAGGAGATATTAGTCCATTAACGGCTTCAATGAACACTCATATACACCAGAAAAGGAGATATTAGTCCATTAACGGCTTCAATGAACACTCATATACACCAGAATAGGAGATATTAGTCCATTAACGACTTCAATGAACACTCATATACACCAGAAAAGGAGATATTAGTCCATTAACGGCTTCAATGAACACTCATATACACCAGAAAAGGAGATATTAGTCCATTAACAGCTTCAATAAACATTCCTGTACACTAGAATAGGAGATATTAGTCCATAAACAACCTCAATAAACGCTACTATACACTCAAAAAGGAGATTAGTCCATTAACGACTTCAATGAACACTCATAAACACCAGAAAAGGAGATATTAGTCCATTAACGACTTCAATACACACTCCTATACACTACAAAAGGAGATATTAGTCCATTAACAACTTCAATAAACATTCCTATAGACTAGAAAAGGAGATATTTGTCCTTTAACAACCTCCATAAACACTCTTGTATAATAGGAGATATTAGTCCATAAACAACCTCAATAAATACTCCTATACACTAAAATAGGAGATATTAGTCCATAAACAACCTCAATAAACACTCCTATTCACTAGAATAGGAGATATTAGTCCATCAACACCCTCAGTAAATGGTCCTATATGCTAATTAGAGATATTAGTGTATAAACACTAACACTATACATTTTCGACTGTAGTTTAGCAATAATAGGAAAGTAAAGTACAGTAGTTTTCACGCCTATTTAATAAACAACATGATGACCGGTATGATTTGGATAAGGAAGCTGGTATGTGTGAACTTCCTGTTTATACTCCTTAAACCTCTTAAGTTGAGAGCTATGAGAGCGCCACTGCAGCGGTTTATGATATTTTACGGTCTCTCTCTCTCTCTCTCTCTCTCTCTCTCTCTCTAGCAGAGTGTCCACTGCAGTGCTTTACTGTAGCACTGCCCACTCTGCATTTACTGAGCTGTCCACTAAGCCACTAAGCTTCTCCTGGGTGCTGACCACAAAACCAGGTCCAATACTGTCCCCCACCCCCTTCCACCCCCATTAGTTTAATGGGCTTCATTGGCTGTAATTAGGAGACAACATTCAATACAATACGACTATAAATAGCAACTCATTACAAATATCAATGCACGTACAACAAATAAACAAACCATGAAGAACTACGCAGATACCCTCTCTCCCTCTCTCCCTCTCTCTCTCTCCCTCTCTCCCTCTGTCTCCCTCTCTCCCCCTCTCTCCCTCTCTCCCTCTCTCTCTCTCTCTCTCTCTCCCTCTGTCTCTCTCTCTCCCTCTCTCCCCCTCTCTCCCTCTCTCCCCCTCTCTCCCTCCCTCCAGCTGACAGACATTAAGCTGTAAATCACCAGGATTTTATGAACAGCAGAGCCGCAGCTTCATCACAGTCTCCTAAAATAAATCAAAACCGTCCGGGTCATTTCTGCTCCCTAAAACTCCGACACTGCTCTGAAAGAAAGAAAGAACATTTGCAAAAAGGAAGGAATCTGATTTACAAGCTCTGGAGGATTTATTTAATATATATTTTCTTCAGTTTGTTCAAAATCTAAAAGGACTTGTACTTGGAAACTTTACAAACTGACAATAATAAAAATAACTATGAGTGTGCATTTCTTGAAGGAAACAAAGAACGGTTAAATGGTTTCATACTGCTAGGTTGTTGCTAGGCCGTTACTATGGTATCCCAGGAGGTTGCTAAGGTGTTGCCAGGCAGTTGCTATGGTATCCCATGTGGTTGCTAAGTTGCTGCTAGGCATTTGCCAGGGTATATGGGGTGTTTGTTTAGTTGTTCGTAGGGAGTTGCCCAGTGTCAGCTACGTGTTATTGAAAATAAATGGGAGTCTATTTGTGGAATGAGGGATGAAAAAACGACACATAGAGGAGTGCAGGTCAGTGTGGCTGTGTATTACAGCCTGGGGATCTGCCCTGAGTGAGTACATGCATTTTGGTGGCTTTCAGTCAAGTCAATCGTTAATGAACATTAGAATGCTGAATTTTATTTTGACTGCTGCTTGTGTGCATCACCACACCCATCCCGAGTGATCTGGCTCTCACCCTGCAGGGGGGTGTACCGCGATGGCTCTGGGGTGGGTCATCCCCCCCTCCAGCAGGGTCTTCCTGCTCTCTGCCGCTCCATCCAGCCGGGCCACGCTCACCGTCTTTCTGTGACCGTCACTCGTCCAGTACAGATTACTGCCCAACCAGTCCACTGAGATACCCTCTACATTGTCCAGATCTACAGAGAGAGAGAGAGAGAGAGAGAGAGAGAGAGAGAGAGAGAGAGAGAGAGAGAGAAATCAGAGAAAGAAAGACGCATACAGAACAGCAGAGAGGAGAACCCAAAGGAAAAATGTCTTCCTTAAAATCTCAGGAGAAATAAAGCAGATCTCAATATTGTTTTAATGAAGGATCGTCAATTTATGAATTCTTCTTAAACCGCCTCAGGAGAAACGAGGAGATTAACATCAGCATTTCACTGTAAGAAGTTCCAGAGACAAATGAGGAAAGTTCTGCTTCAGCACTGAGATTACTGACCGATCTCTGAGATCTATAGAAGAGAGCTATAAAAGATACTGATGAGAACTTATACTTCTCTTTATGGAAATATTACTCATCTCAGCATGAGCGACCAACTAGCAACACCCTAGCAACCACCTAAGACAACACAGCAACACCCAAGTTACCAACCGGTGCACTATAGCAACGTCATAGCAATAACCCTGCAACCCCCAGAGATACCACAGCAACCACCTAGCAACACCCTAGCAACCACCTGTGACACAATAGCAACAACGTACTAACCACCTGGTACACTATAGCAATGGCCTAGCAACACTCCAGAAACCCCAGGGATACCATAATGACCACCTAGCAACACTCTAGGAACCACAAGAGACACCATAGGAACCACCTAGCAACACCCTAGAAACCACGAGATACCATAGCAACCACTTAGCAACACCATAGCAACTCCCAGAGATATCATAATAACCACCTGGCAACACCCTACGAACCATGATGGACACCATAGCAACCGCTTAGCAACACCATAGCAACGCCAAGAGATATCATAACAACCACCTAGCAACACCCTAGAAACCACAAGAGATACCATAGCAACCACACAGCAACACCACAGCAACCCCAAGATATCATAACAACCACATAGCAACACCATAGTAACCCCCAGAGATATCATAACAACCGCATAGCAACACCCTAGAAACCACAAGAGACACCATAGCAACCACCTAGCAACACCATAGCAACCCCCAGACATCATAACAACCACATAGCAACACCCTTGAAACCATGAGAGATACCATAGCATCCACCTAGCAACACCATAGCAACCCCCAGATATCATAACAACCACAAGAGATACCATAGCAACTACCTAGCAACACCCTAGCAAGCATCTTAAATACCATAGTAAACACCTGGCAAGACCTAAGCAACGATCTGGAACTTGTTTAAGACATTTTCTTCTCTGCTGGTGCACGATGACATCATCAGAAACCGAAAGCCGTTTTAGAGGAGGGTCATTACGTTTTGACTGAAGATTAAGGGAAATCAACTGTCTTTTAAATGAGATGATCAATCACGTATGTAAGTCTAATCATCTGGCACATAATGGATTTACCGAATGTAAACACACACTGACCGTCTTTGAGGACAGTTTCCCATCCAGTCCCGTCCACTTTCTGCCGGCCAATCAGAAAGCTGGTTGTGTCTGAAAAGTAAACGTAGCCGCTGGACGAGTGAAAGTCCAGCGCTCTTGGGCTGACCAGTCCTTCTATCTGCACCATGTGCTGACTGGCTGATTTACCGTCCAGCCCGAAGCCCCGGATGACCCCGGGACGACCTTTACCATAGAACAGAAACGGATCGTCCTTCGACTCTGAGGAGGAGGAGGAGGAGAGAGAGAGAGAGAGAGAGAGAGAGAGAGAGAGAGAGAGAGAGAGAGAGAGACATATGAAATATATTCACAACCAAAACTACAGAGCATTTAAACTTATTATTAACCCTTTAAATCAACACAGGAAAACGTGGATTTTTATACTGCGTCAAATCACCTTTTAAAAAGGACAGTAAAGTGACAAAATCACAACAATTAATTATGATTAATCAGATTATTTTGTGATTAATCAAAAAGAGAGCTGTAAAGAGAGATTGAGAGGGAGAGAGAGAGAGAAAGAGAGAGAGATAAACTGAGAGAGAGAGGGAGGAGATTTGAGGAATAAACAAATGCGAGTGCTGAGTGATAAGCCTGCGCTGTCAGAGCTTTAATTAATTAATTGACATAATTAGGCTTCTATTTTCAATTCAGCGCCACAAATTAAAGCCTTTGACAAAAAAAAAACGTATCCAAAGCAACAGACTCAGCTAATTAGACCAGCTTAATTAAACCAGAATTAGTTCAGCTGATTTAGTTTATCACATCAATCTCTGTGTTCAGAACAGCATAACATCATTATTATTGAGAGAGAGAGGGAGAGAGAGAGAGAGAGAGAGAGAGAGGGAGAGAGAGAGAGAAGGACAGGAAGGAGATAACAAAAGAGAGTAGTAAAAAAGAGAGGTAGTAAAAAAGAGAGAGAGAAATAAATAATCAGAGAGAAAACAGAGAGAAATAAAAAGCAAAAGAAAAGATTGGAAGAGAGAGAGAAAAAACAGAGATAGATAGAGAGAGGGGGAAGAGAGAGTGAGAGATCGGGGCAGAGAGAGACAGAGATGGGGGGGGGACAGAGAGAGCAGAAAAAGCTGTACAGATTATTAAATATCATAAATCAGCTGTGGAACTGGAGGACTAAAGGAAAGAGGAGAGAAACACTGCAGGACTGCAGATTAATCTATATGTAATAATAATATCCCATATGTATTATATATACGTATATATGTCAGCATCTCTATTTAATTATCTCTCCTGTATGTATTATATATAAAGTGGAATCAGCCGGAGGAGAAGAGAATAAAGCTGAGTGAGAAGATGAACTGTGAGGGCTTTACAGACTGACAGGAACAGAACCTCATTCAGCTTTATCTAGAACTCTGACACAGCTGAGCTGATACTCTCTCACACAGATGATATTTCATAGACCTACTTTATTTGGTGGAGGGATGTTCTGATATTAATGATGATATCAGTGATAATACATTCCCTCACGTGTTCTATAGAGCAGTGTGCATCGTGTGTGTGTGTGTGTGTGTGCACGTGTGTGTGTGCGTGTGCGCGTGTGTGTGCGTGTGCGTGCGTGTGTGTGCGTGCGTGTGTGTGCGGGCGTGGCGTGTGTGTGCGGGCGTGTGTGTCTTACTCCTGCAGTTGGTCCCGTCACTGGTGAGTGTGTATCCCGTACGGCAGCGACACACACGGGACTTATAGCTGCTGCTGAGGAGACAGAGCTGAGAACATCCTCCACTCTTACCCTGAACATCTACATCACACGCATGAGACCTCACTGCACACACACACACACACACACACACACACACACACACACACACTTTATTAGAGCAAACCTGACAGGAGTATGTTAATTAACACAGAAGAAACAGTAGGTGTTCCTAATAAAGTGGCCAGTGAGTGGAAGAACAAGTTAGGTGTTTCTGATAAAGTGGCCAGTGAGTGGAAGCACAAGGTGGGTGTTTCTAATAAAGTGGCCAGTGAGTGGAAGAACAAGTTAGGTGTTTCTGATAAAGTGGCCAGTGAGTGGAAGCACAAGGTGGGTGTTTCTAATAAAGTGGCCAGTGAGTGGAAGCACAAGGTGGGTGTTTCTAATAAAGTGGCCGGTTAGTGGAAGCACAAGGTGGGTGTTTCTAATAAAGTGGCCGGTTAGTGGAAGCACAAGGTGGGTGTTTCTAATAAAGTGGCCAGTTAGTGGAAGTACAAGGTGGGTGTTTCTAATAAAGTGGCCAGTGAGTGGAAGCACAAGGTGGGTGTTTCTAATAAAGTGGCCAGTGAGTGGAAATACAAGGTGGGTGTTTCTAATAAAGTGGCCATTTAGTGGAAGCACAAGGTGGGTGTTTCTGATAAAGTGGCCGGTTAGTGGAAGTACAAGGCAGGTGTTTCTAATAAAGTGGCCAGTGAGTGGACATGTGCGTTGAACGTGAACTGAAATTAAAGTAGTCCTATCATTTGCATGTAGTTCCAGTATAAAGCGGAATAACGTTGGGTCTGTTTTAGACGGTGAAACGTGTCTGAGACGTGTTCATATCCTCTTAGCTCAGCGCCGTTAGCGCAGCTCACCTGCGGGCTGAGTGAGTCTGTGATAAACTCTCACGGCTCTGGAAGTTTCCTGAGTGGTGACAGGGTGAGCGTCACTGCTGTTGAAGCGGTTTATCCTCAAAACGTCCACTTTACTGCCTCTGGACGGATCAGAACACGTCACGAACAGGTAATCTTCGAACAGAGCTAATCCATACAGGTGTGACACCTGGAGGAGAGAGAGAGAGAGAGAGAGAGAGAGAGAGAGAGAGAGAGAGAGAGAGAGATTAAAAACGAGGTAAGGAAATAAGAGAGAGAGATAAGAGAGAAAGAGAGAAAAATGAAAGAGAAAGTAAGAGAAGTGAGTAATAGAGAAAAAGAGAGGAATGAAAGAGGAAGATGGCGATAAAGAATTGAGAGAAATGAGAGAAAGTGTGAAATGAGAAAGAAAAGGTAAAACATAGAGAAGAGTGAGAGAGAGAGCAAGACAGACAAAATGAAAAAGAATGAGAAAAGAAAAAAGAGAAATGAGAGAGAGAGAAAGAGAAATGAAAATGAAAGAGAGACTTGAAAAAGAGATGAAAGAGAGAAATGGGAGAGAGAGAGAGACAGAGAGAGAGAGAGAGAGAGAGAGAGAGAGAGAGAGAGAGAGAGACTGCAGGGCCATCACACCTTTCAGTTTAATACAGAATCTCAGTGTGAACAGATTAGCGTGAGTGTGCTGAGCTAATCCCTCAGGAGAAACGTTAGCGGCGTTAGCGGCGTTAGCGGCATTGGCGATGTTAGCGAGCCCCCACCTCACAGCGGGGGGCCGCACAGCCACACCTTTCAGCTCAGGTGTGAATTAGTGGGTTTATACAGTCTGAGTCAAAGTGTGGACCCCCCTGACTAAAGCTGTGTTATCATAACCCGTAAAGGACCAGATCAGAGAAAACTGAACTATTTCACTTCCTGAGAAGTGATGATCCGTAGCACATCAACACTGTTAAGGTTTCAGGACGGTCACCTCTCGGTCGGCACAGCCCGCACCTGCAAAATCAGCCAGTCTGGAATTAAATGTTTTGTGATGTCATGAAAACAAAGATACAAATCAAATCAAATCAAATCAAATTTATTTGTATAGCGCTTTTTACAACTGATGTTGTCACAAAGCAGCTTCACAGAAATCCGTTTAGAACAAAGAGACACAAACAGAGAGAGTGAGAGAGAGACAGAGCGAGAGAGAGACAGAGAGAGAGAGAGAGTATCTGCCTATTTGACCTACAGCATCCAACATCTCTGTGAGATGCGAGTCTGAGTCGAGTCTGTGAGATGCGAGTCCGAGTCCAGTCTGTGAGATGCGAGTCCGAGTCCTGTCTGAGATGCAAGTCCAGTCTGTGAGATGCGAGTCTGAGTCCAGTCTGAGATGCGAGTCCAGTCTGTGAGATGTGAGTCCGAGTCGAGTCTGTGAGATGCGGGTCCGAGTCGAGCCTGAGATGCGAGTCCGAGTCGAGTCTGAGATGCGAGTCCGAGTCGAGTCTGAGATGTGAGGGATCTGCGATCTTTGCTTGAATTAACTTCATTAAAACTTTCACATCATATCCAAAAACATGAACCTGTTAGATCTACAGGAGTGAACCATATTTAATCTCAGAGTGAGTTCATGTATCTGAGTGTAACGTCTGAGTTCAGCTGCTGCACTGAGAGCCGGTACCGTGCGGTTCTCTCGCTGTATCTGACCTTGCGGTGTTTCTTGTTTACTCTGGTATTGATCGTGCTGGAATGTTCCGGGTCTCAGAGCTGCTCCTGGAGGGCCGATTTGGAAGCAGGACGCTGAAGAACCAACCTGAACAGAACTGGCTTAAAATAATCTGTCCTGTTCCGATCTGAACCCACCAGGCTTAGACACATCAGTATGGAATTAAACAGGAGGGGAGCTAGAACCTTTAGAACCGGGTGGCTAGATTAGACCCAGATGTGTTATTAAAATATTAAAAAAACAAATTAAATAGCTTTAGTGTATTAAAATCACATAAACAGTGATGCGTTTGTGTTTCTCAGTGCAGATTTAGATCTGTCCATCATTTCTACATGAATGAAATATTACATCACACAACTAAACCCAAACTTAAACAGAACAACTCCACAAATATTCAGATCCCTCTGTAATATTCTGTATGTGTTATTATACTATATATCTATTCAGATCTGCACACATACACACACTCACTCACACTCACACTCACACTCACACACTCACACTCACTCACACTCACTCACACTCACACTCACTCACACTCACTCACACTCACACTCACTCACACTCACACTCACTCACACTCACACTCACACACTCACACTCACACTCACTCACACATACACTCACACACATACACACACACACACACACACACACACTCACACATACACTCTCACACACAGACACAGACAAAACTGCTTATCCTCCTGGACAGAAGACAGGAAGCACCCTGTACAGAGACTCAGACTCGCACCTCAGAGACTCAACTAGAACTCACACCTAAGAGACTCGACTCAAACTCGCACCTTAGAGGCTCAGACTTGCACCACAGAGACTTGACTCAGACTTGTACCTCAGAGAGTCGACTTGGACTCGCATCTCAGTGAGTTGACTCGGACTCGCACCTCAGAGACTTGACTCGGACACGCACCTCTGAGACTCAGACTCAACTCAAATTCACACCTCTGAGACTCCACTCAGACTCGCACCTCAGAGACTTGACTCAGACACACACCTCAGAGACTCGACTTCGACTCGTACCTCAGAGACTCGACTTGGACTCGCACCTCAGAGATTAAACACTAAATGAGATTGAAGCTCATCTAGACGGCTGAGCAGACGTGAACAGGCCCGTTTCTCCGACAGTGAGAGGAGGGGCTGGAAATGTTCCTCAAAGAGGAAGAAAACTGTTCTCTCAAATGAATCAGTACTGAGACACAGCATCTGTGTTTCAGAGCAGTCTGGACATCGCAGGTTTGGACTTCAGAGCTCCTCATGTAAACCTCAGCTTTATGAGCTCCTATAAGAACCAGCAGGACGACCCTGACGATGGTCAAGAAGTAGCCGTCCAAAACCCCTCAATCAGAAAGCAGCATAAAGACGGTGCACACATTTACAGCTGAGAGGAAAAAAAAGAAATCAAGAACAAACGAAGCTGACTTTATACATGAATGACACTAAAAAAACTAGTTTTAATTTTAATTCTAGTTAATAATTGTATTTTTCTAATAATTTTATTTTTCTAATATTTTTATTTGAACTTTGTTCTGGATATTAATTTCATTGGAACTTCATTCTGGATGTTAATTTTATCAGAACATCATTCTGGATATTATTTTTTTAGAACTAAATCTCTAGTAGAACAGTACTTAAACATTTAAACAGTGATTCCAAACTTTGAAATTATGATTCCAGACATTTGATCAGCAATTTCAAACTTTTGAAGAGTGATTATAATTTTTTTAGCTATGATCCGAAACATTGGAATGTGATTTCGGATCTTTGAACTGTGATACCAAATGTTTGAAAAGTGATTTTAAACTTTTGAATTGTGATTCCAAACATTTGATCAGTGATTTCAAACTTTTGAAGAGTGATTCTAATTTTTTTGTATTGTGATTTCAAACATTGGAATGTGATTCCGATCATTTGAACTGTGATTCCAAACTTTTGAATTATGATTTCAAAGGTTCAAATTATGGTTCCAAACATTTGATAAACGATTCTGAACTTTAGCGAGTCTATAATTTCTTAATTGTGATTCCATACAATTGAATGTGATTCTGAACATCTTAACTGTGTTTCCAAACTTCTGAATTGTGATTCCAAAGTTTTGAACTGTGACACTAAATCTTCCGGATGGTATTCGTTATTCCACTCACCGAGTTCCCCCGGATGATTGTGTGTCTGTTTTTTCCGTCGTAATCCACCACTTCAATGATGTCCAGGTACGTATCGGCCCAGTAGACGAGTTTTCTGACCAGGTCGAGGGTCAGCGCGGTGGGCTGCTCCATCCGGCTCTCCACGATCCGGCTCCGCTCAGATCCGTCCAGGCCGCAGCGCTCCAGCTTAGCCACACTTCCATAATCGGAGAAAAACAGCTTCCTGAAGAAAGAGAGCGAGACTTTAGAACAATTCAGCTCGATTACGGTTCCTTAGGAAAAGATTCAGTGCAGCATGAAATCTCACTTTTCAGTTATTTGATGAGGGTATTTTTAAAATTATACTGAATATTCAAAAGAGACTGGAGGAAATAATTTGTTTTTTTTTGCATTTGTACATTTGAAAGCAGGCAGAGAATTTAATAAAATAATCAGTGCATATTTTATTAAATATTTTTGTAATTAATTATAATTGACTGACATTCCAAAACTGATGCGAGAGAATTGCCTTCAGACTGATGCATTGAGTTACACTTTAACAAGTGGATTGTGGGTAAACCTTGGGCCTTTTTATCTATAGTTCTCATTATAGTTTCTCTCTCAATACATATTTGAATCCATCTTTTTTTAATATAAAGGTATGGGAATTGTAATATATTTTGTTTTAATAAAATTGAGCCGAGTTTCACACTTACAGTCAAATACACTCACATTCCACCATATCAGAACCCTAAAACGTCAGAGAGCACCTTTCATTACTTCATTTACGCTCAAAGCTGCCATCAAGTTCATATTATATTGTACTTGTGTAATATAAACATATGTACCTGAAAATTACCCAGAAGCCTCAACAACTAACTCTGCTCTCAGCTGTGTGAGTCAGTGAGTCTCTCTCCCTTTATTCCAGCTTCCATTCTGTTCAGGAGACTCACTTTCAGCTCCTCAAAGAATCTGCAGACACACCTCCAAAGTTCAGTCTTAGAAGCTGGTTGATCATTTTCTGAAGTAATCAAACACATTCAGTGGTGTTGAGGTCTGGACTCTGGGGTGGTCTGTCCATTGTCCAGCTTCTTTGTTTGATGTGTCCATCTCCTTTTCTCAGTGAGGTTCTTCTTGATCAGCTACACATCCTTTCAGACCCACAGCGCTGAGTCGTCTTCTCACAGTGGAAGGATGGACAGAAACACCTGTGGATGTTTTCAGATCTGATCAGCTTGATTTTCTCCTCTCTCTCAGAGATGAAAGCTTTAAGTGCTGTTTATCTGATGGGGGCAGTTTTGGGGTCGACCAGCTCTTCCAGGTGGTTGTTAGGAGACTCATTTTCTCTGGAGCTTCTAATCAGTGTTTGAGCTACAGGAGAGGGGTTTCTGATAAAGTGGCCAAGGGATGCATGTTAAAAACTACTTTAATTTCTCACACTGTGCCGAAGCTACAAGCTTAGCTCAGCAGAAAGCAGTCAAATAGAGCCCTGTTGCTCCAAGGACAGGAGACGGTTTCTCTTTAATGCATGAGACGGTTAATCCACACTATATCAGCTGAAAGATGGCGACAGAGCAGGTTTTAAAGCTGAGTGCAGTAACACTCCTCGTCAGGCTGAAAGGCAGCAGGAGAGCAGCTCAGAGCGACACATACACAGCACTGCTGGGCTTCAGCTGGAACTTACAGCACACAAACCAAAGCCACAGTCGGCTACCAGGCGGCGCTAAGCTAATGCAGTGTCCATAGGCCGTTGACGGCAAACTGGATATTCTGTTGTTTTCAGCAGAGCATCAATGACGCCACCACCACCTGCAAGAGTTTCTGCAATTTTCCCAACTTTTGGCACGGAAATAAACCAGATGTTGATATGTTGGGGGCCATATGGAGGCCAAATGTCTCATTTTCAAATTCCAGGTGAACCAAGTCACCAAGCAAAACAATGAAGAGTGCAGAGCGTCCTCCTCACTTTTTCCACCTGAACAAACCATCTACACTGCTCAAGCTCTCCTCTAATAATCACCCATTTACACCTGTGACACTGTCACCATGGCCATGTTTGCAGGTCAGTTGCGTATCAAGTGCTGGTCTGGGAAATTCAGTCCGAGTGATGCCACAGCCATACGTAATGGCTAGTCTAAGAGATCATAACTGACTTCTCTCTCTTTGGGTGGGTAGGATGGATCCCCAGAGTGTTAAATACCCCTTGGTATTCAGGGGGTCCCATGTTGGATGGCTTCTCCAGTGCTGGCTACCTGCTAATTTACTCGCCTTAGTGACGCTGGTGCTAGCTTCAGTGGCATTGAAATCTTTGGTTCATCTGAATTGCTCTGTTCTAGTGCGGTTCTGCGCTCTTCCTCACATTAACTGAGATCTTCCTCGTCTCCTCTTCTGTAGAGTCTCTGTTCTAGTGCGGTTCTGCGCTCTTCCTCACATTAACTGAGATCTTCCTCGTCTCCTCTTCTGTAGAGTCTCTGTTCTAGTGCGGTTCTGCGCTCTTCCTCACATTAACTGAGATCTTCCTCGTCTCCTCTTCTGTAGAGTCTCTGTTCTAGTGCGGTTCTGCGCTCTTCCTCACATTAACTGAGATCTTCCTCGTCTCCTCTTCTGTAGAGTCTCTGTTCTAGTGCGGTTCTGCGCTCTTCCTCACATTAACTGAGATCTTCCTCGTCTCCTCTTCTGTAGAGTCTCTGTTCTAGTGCGGTTCTGCGCTCTTCCTCACAGTAACTGAGATCTTCCTCGTCTCCTCTTCTGTAGAGTCTCTGTTCTAGTGCGGTTCTGCGCTCTTCCTCACAGTAACTGAGATCTTCCTCGTCTCCTCTTCTGTAGAGTCTCTGTTCTAGTGCGGTTCTGCGCTCTTCCTCACAGTAACTGAGATCTTCCTCGTCTCCTCTTCTGTAGAGTCTCTGTTCTAGTGCGGTTCTGCGCTCTTCCTCACATTAACTGAGATCTTCCTCGTCTCCTCTTCTGTAGAGTCTCTGTTCTAGTGCGGTTCTGCGCTCTTCCTCACATTAACTGAGATCTTCCTCGTCTCCTCTTCAGTAAAGTCTCTGTTCTAGTGCGGTTCTGCGCTCTTCCTCACATTAACTGAGATCTTCCTCGTCTCCTCTTCTGTCTTCAGTGTGAGAAATGAGGAACAGTCACTCTTCACTCCAAACTCTTGGGAAACTGGGTGAGTTTTCAGATTTACAGATCTGCTGCAGCTCATTGGAAAGTTTTCAGAGGAATCCGGGCAGAGTTACAGTTTCTAGGCAATGAAGGACCAACTGGGTGAGCCAGTCTGCTACAGCGCCACCCTGAGGCAGAGCAGTGCTGCAAAGTTAGTTACGAATATTAAAGACAGCTGTCAGCTGTGAAGTAGGACAAATGATGGCCCTTCCCAGAATTTGTATTTTAGAGGTTCATTTTCAGAGAAATTAGATTTTCAGAGAAAATCTAAAGACCTCAAATGTAGAAAATCAGCGAAGGCATGTTTGATGCTTGTGTCTTTGGTTTAGCACTGAAGCTACGAGGTAAATGGTAACTTCTACCCCTTCAACTAGCATTGTGCTAACTCCATGCATTCACAAAGTCCTCATAGCTCTGGACTGGGTTGCGCCAGGTTTGTGTAAGTCTGTAATTAAGTTTTGGAATAAAGTCTTTCCTGAGTCCTCAGTTACACTCGTTAGTTTAAACTGTCCTTTTACTAAATCTGGTTACACCACAAACCTGTGCGTCGTGTCTACATTTGAACTTATGCACAGCTGGTGCAACCAGCCACTGGTCACCAACCCTGGTCCTGGAGATCTACCTTCCTGCACAGTCCCATTCCAACCACAATCTTCCACACCTGCTCCAGCTAATTAACCTCTACAGAAGTGCCTGGTTGGCCGGGTGTGTTGGTGTAGGTCTGGGGAGGGGAGCATGTCAGCTGCAGGTTGGAAATAAACTCTGCAGGAAAGGAGATCTTCAGGAGGAGGTTTAATGACCACTGCCTTATGGGAAAGTGGCGATCTTGGCAACACCTCAAGGCAGTTATTTCCACTCATACCAGTCCAGGCTTCTATATCTTTCAACAGGAACCGTAAACCCTAAACTGAAAGCTACAGGAATGTTTCAAAAACAGATTTGAAATCACTGGTAAAATCAGACAAAATTCACATCAATCATCTGCTGAGCTAAAGAATTGTTTGTGCTCCAACTTTCTGAACCTAAACGCTGATAAAACTGACGTTATGCTAGTTGCCCCTGAATCTGTGGTGTCAGAGTTGTTAAGCCTTGCCAGTTAGTCTGAAATCTTGGTGTATTATTTGACCCTTTGCTCATATAAACCTGCGTCTTTTCATCTCCGCAGTACTGCACGTCTGCTCCAGTTGAAAGATGCTGAGACACTGGTTTAAGCTTTTATCCTCCCTGCAGACGCCTTAAATAGACTGCAATGTATTCAAAACTCAGCCACCAGAGTTCTCACCCACACTAATCATGCAGGACATATCACTCCTCTGCCAAACTGGTTACTCTGGCCTCCCTTTACTTCATGTATTAAATACAAGATCTCATTACCTTCTCCTGCACGGTCACCTCCATGCTTAACTCATCTACATCCCTTCCTGTAAACTCAGGTCTCCTGGTGCTGGGCTGTCCCCCAGGTTAGAAGGTCTTCTTGGGGTGGCAGGTTGTTCAGCCACTAGGTCAGCCCTCTTGTCCATTTCCTCTTTTAAAACTAACTTGAAAACTTATCTCTTCGCTCGGTGCTGCTCTTCTACCGTGACCTCCCAGCTGTGTTGTATGTTGGACTCTCACTTCTGTCCTATTTATTCCTGTGGTAATGCTGGGTGGACGAATCAGACACTCGCGGATAAAAGATAAACCGCAGGGTTTACTAAAAAAAGAGGATGAGCCAAAATAACAGGGCTCACAAAGAAAGACAGGCTTATATACACTGGAACAGGTGAGGATAATCAATACTCAGGTGACTGAGATCTGCTGATTGGCATATGATAGTTAGTGAAGTCACATGACAAACTGAGGGATTTCTGGGAAGTGGAGTCCGCAATGGAATGAGAGTCTGACTGAGAACCGGGAAGCTGTTGGTTTGTCTCGAATGGTTGTTTACAGGTTCTTTGGTAAAGTCAATGGTTTAGAACCTTTGCATCAGATTGACGGAGAAAGTGTTGTATATGGTTCTACATAGAGCCTTTTAGAAAATGGTTCTAGACACTTAAAAAAGATGGTTCTTCTAGGGTTCTGTAGTAAAGAAAATGGTTCTATGTAGAACCATAAACACTAAAAGAACCATTGGCATGTTTATATGGTTCTGTGCATGGTGAAATGGTTCTTCAGATTGATGGAGAATGTACTTTAAATGGTTCTATATAGAACCTTTTGGGAAAAGGGTTCTTTTGGAAAAGGGTTCCCTAGAAGAACCATCTTTTTTAAGTGTCTAGAACCACCTTCTCCGTCAAGCTGAAGAACGATTTCACCATGCAGAGAACCATTTAAGCTCGCTAAGGGTTCTTTGAGTGTTTATGGTTCTATATCATTCTCTTTACTAAAGCACCCCTTGAAGAACCATCTTTCTTAAGAGTGTGCTTTAGGACTGAACTCACCCCACTGCTGGGTCCAGGGCGATTCCTCTGGGGTTCTGAAGATCCAGCTCTACGATCGTAACACACGCGTCCGCCTTCTCACTGCAGGCGAATATCCGATCGCTCACTCGGTCCACGAAGTAGAAGTTCCCCGTGAGCCAGTCTACGGCCATATGTTCCACATCTAAGGTTGAGGGGAGAACAAAGGGGTGAAAAACGGCAGATCTTACAGAGCAGATACATATTTATAAAGGACAAGGGCACTGCAGCAGTTTTAGGACACTGAGTTCAGCTCCGGTGCACAGGCCTGATTGAAAATTCCACTCAGCCATTGGAGGAAATTAATGATTGGAAAGTTTGCACAAGCTGTTCTCCCACTCACACACCACACACTCACACACACACACACACACACACACACACACACACTCACACACACACAACACACACACACACACACTCGCACACACACACACAACACACACACACACACACACACACACACAGGCCAAAATTCCCCGCTCAGTGCCGGCCCGAGTGCCAGTCTGCTGTGAAGCCTGAGAAATCCCCCTTCCTCCAGTTTACGAGCGCTACGTTACGAGCCTTAACTCACGGGTTTTATCTATGATCCCCAACGCACTGGCTTTAATTAACGACCCGTGAACTTAACGAGCCTTACTTCCAATCTTGGATGTGAACTCAATAGTCAGGCATTCAAAACAGCTCAAAACTGTCTATTAATGCCTATTAATGGTCATTAGCATGGACCCTACTGGGTCCTCATCCCTGTAGAACACCATTGCCAGCTGCGAGCCCCCATAACTCCCTCATTACACAGTTCTCTTAACGCCTCAGTAGATGAAGCTAGCATGAGCGCTAACAAAGTCACGCTGTGATTTTATATGAATTATTTCTGACTCAGGGTTCAGTGAAACGAGTGGAGAAACTGTGGAAAGTGCAGATTGTAGACTTTCATTTGTGTAGAAGAGGAGATGTTTTATCATGAACCAAATCTGATGGAAAGTCCTGCTATACAGAAATGAAAAGCAGCATTTAAATTTTTGTCATATAAGTTTTTGCCATTTTTTGGAATCAAAACAAGCAGAGAAATGTCAAAAACCTCTCTGTGTAATGTATTATATACTAACTACACACTTACACACTGGCATCTTTCATTCATAACAGTAACGCTAACCAATCAGCACTCAGTAGCAGTAATGCTAACCAATCAGCACTCAGTAGCAGTAATGCTAACCAATCAGCACTCAGTAGCAGTAATGCTAACCAATCAGCACTCAGTAGCAGTAATGCTAACCAATCAGCACTCAGTAGCAGTAATGCTAACCAATCAGCACTCAGTAGCAGTAATGCTAACCAATCAGCACTCAGTAACAGTAATGTTAACCAATCAGCGCACAGTAACAGTAATGTTAACCAATCAGCACTCAGTAACAGTAATGTTAACCAATCAGCGCGCAGTAACAGTAATGTTAACCAATCAGCACTCAGTAGCAGTATTGCTAACCAATCAACACTCAGTAGCAGTAATGCTAACCAATCAGCTCTCAGTAGCAGTAATGCTAACCAATCAGCAATGAGTTGCAGTAATGCTAACCAATCAGCTCTCAGTAGCAGTAATGCTAACCAATTAGCGCTCAGTAGCAGTAATGCTAACCAATCAGTGCTCAGTAGCAGTAATTCTAACCAATTAGCGCTCAGTAGCAGTAATGCTAACCAATCAGTGCTCAGTAGCAGTAATGCTAACCACTCAGTGCTCAGTAGCAGTAATGTAAGCATCCATTAAATTTTTTAATGGAATGTTGCTAGGCCATTGCTGTGTTGTCCCAAGTGGTTGCTAAGGTGTTGCTAGGCTGTTGCTATGTTATTCAAAGCGGCTGCTAAGGAGTTGCTATGCCCTGGCTGTGGTATCCCTGGCAATTGCTTAGGTGTTGCTAGGCTATTGCTATGTTATTCAAGGTGGTTGCTAAGGTGTTGCTCCATTGTCAAAGGTGGTTGCTAGGGTATAGGTAGGCTGTTTCTGTGTTATACCTGGTGATTGAAGGCGTAGCTAGGCTGTTGCTATGTTATTCAAGGTGGTTGCTAAGGTGTTGCTCCATTGTCAAAGGTGGTTGCTAGGGTATAGCTAGGCTGTTTCTGTGTTATACCTGGTGATTGAAGGCGTAGCTAGGCTGTTGCTATGTTATCCAAGGTGGTTGCTAAGGTGTTGCTAGGCTGTTGTTGTCCAAGGTGTTTGCTAAGGTGTTGCTAGGCTGTTGTTGTCCAAGGTGTTTGCTAAGGTGTTGCTAGGCCATTGCTGTGTTGTCCAAAGTGGTTGCTAAGGTGTTGCTAGGCCATTGCTGTGTTGTCCAAAGTGGTTGCTAAGGTGTTGCTAGGTTGTTGCTATGTTATCAAAGGTGTAGCTTGGCCGTTGCTATCATTTTTGACTCAGGACACTGAAATCTTCCCTTTGTAACTGTAATTACATTGAAGCTGAGTTGGTGCTGAATCATAACATGCAAACCATATGATACTAATGCACTAAATCACAGAGTTACAGGCAGAAATGTAAAGGTACGTCTAGCCAGCTATTTTAGGCTTATGTTCTGAAGAGTTAAAGCAGGGCTGCCTGTGCAAAAGTGCCTAATAATGGCCATTAATGGTGATTAACCTGCTGGGGACTAATATCCCTGCTCTAATGTGGGCTGTAGACCACCACTGCTAGCTACGATCCCCCCATAACTCCCCAATTACACACATTCACATCTCAATTCCCCTAAACACGCTTTTTTAGCCCTCATTTCGCTCCACTGGCATCGCCCGCCCTTCCACTTTCCCTTACGCATCACTTCATAAACTAAATCACTCTCCGCCGCGGTCGCACCTTACAAGAGTCCGCCGCTTAAAAGCGTCTGCTCGGTCCTCTGGCGAATGGGCTGATAATTAGATGGAGTTGACCCCTTTGACATTTAAACCCCTCAATTAACACAAGATTAAACACTTCATAAAACAAAACGGCCGAGGCTGAAGTCGCACTCTTGAAAGAAGTGGGAGCCGTAATGAGCTTTTCAACATTGAAAATGCATGAAAAGTGTATAATAAACACTCAATAAAAGACAAACGGAACACATTTAACATATAAAATGCGAATGTTTGCATCAGTCACTGTGCAGAAGCAGACGTGCAGATGAGGGTACTCACGCTGAAGGTTCTGTGCTATCCTTATTTGCCGTTTTTCTGAAATTCCTTTCAGTTTGGTCAGCTTGGCGCACCAAAGCTGACCGACAGTTTTGGACGTTTGAATCCAGCAGACTGTTTCGTCTCTGTGAATAAAGTCCAGCGCTTGGGTGCCGTTTGTGTCCATCGGCCTCAGATTTGGCACGGACGACCCGTTTAGGTACGTGACTGATATAGATTTGAGGTTCGCCGTCAGGAGCAACGGCGGTCGATCCCCAGGATCTAGAACAGGAAGACAGGAGAACTTACTTTTGACATGTTTCAAACTAAAATGCTAAAAAATGCATCTCACAAATGTAAGGTTATCTTTATGCCAACATGAGTTGCTAACATACAATTGTTGACGTTTAGTGTATGAAGTCTGCTTCCTTGGTTTTAGCACTGGAAGCTAATGTAGCTAGGTAAACAAACTAACCTGTAAAGTTTCCATTGTTTGTTAGCTACATTAGCCTTGTAGCTTCATAGATGCTGGGCAGAAATCTCACTGACCCAATAGTGCCATGTTTAAAGCCTCTGAGCTCTTCAGTACGACCCATTCTAGTGCCAGTGTTTGTCTATGGAGGTTGCAAGGCTATGTGCTTGACTATATACACCTGTTAGTGACTGGTGTGGCTGAAACACCTGAACTCAATAATTAGGAGTGTCTGCATACTTTTGGCCAGTGTGTGAAACACTCCCTGGTACTCAGGGGGTCCCGTGTTGTGGGGCTGCTAACTCTCTCTCCATAGCGGTGCTGATGCTTCAGTGTCAGTATATGTCTGTTTTATCAGCTGTTCTTCTGTAGAGTCTCTGTTCTAGTGCGGTTCTGCGCTGTTCCTCACAGTAACTGAGATCTTCCTCGTCTCCTCTTCTGTAGAGTCTCTGTTCTAGTGCGGTTCTGCGCTCTTCCTCAAAGTAACTGAGATCTTCCTCGTCTCCTCTTCTGTAGAGTCTCTGTTCTAGTGCGGTCCTGCGCTCTTCCTCACAGTAACTGAGATCTTCCTCGTCTCCTCTTCTGTAGAGTCTCTGTTCTAGTGCGGTTCTGCGCTCTTCCTCACAGTAACTGAGATCTTCCTCGTCTCCTCTTCTGTAGAGTCTCTGTTCTAGTGCGGTTCTGCGCTCTTCCTCACAGTAACTGAGATCTTCCTCGTCTCCTCTTCTGTAAAGTCTCTGTTCTAGTGCGGTTCTGCGCTCTTCCTCACAGTAACTGAGATCTTCCTCGTCTCCTCTTCTGTAGAGTCTCTGTTCTAGTGCGGTTCTGCTCTCTTCCTCACAGTAACTGAGATCTTCCTCGTCTCCTCTTCTGTAGAGTCTCTGTTCTAGTGCGGTTCTGCGCTCTTCCTCACAGTAACTGAGATCTTCCTCGTCTCCTCTTCTGTAGAGTCTCTGTTCTAGTGCGGTTCTGCGCTCTTCCTCACAGTAACTGAGATCTTCCTCGTCTCCTCTTCTGTAGAGTCTCTGTTCTAGTGCGGTTCTGCGCTCTTCCTCACAGTAACTGAGATCTTCCTCGTCTCCTCTTCTGTAGAGTCTCTGTTCTAGTGCGGTTCTGCGCTCTTCCTCACAGTAACTGAGATCTTCCTCGTCTCCTCTTCTGTAGAGTCTCTGTTCTAGTGCGGTTCTGCGCTCTTCCTCACAGTAACTGAGATCTTCCTCGTCTCCTCTTCTGTCTTCAGTGTGTGAAATGAGGAACAGTCACTCTTCACTCCAAACTCTTGGGAAACTGGGCGAGTTTTCAGATTTACAGATCTGCTGCAGCTCATTGTAAAGTCTTTCAGAGGAATCCAGGCAGAGTTACAGTTTCTAGGCTATGAAGGACCAACTGGGTGAGCCAGTCTGCTACAGCGCCACCCTGAGGCAGAGCAGTGCTGCAGCTCTAGTTAGTTAAGAACACCAGAGACAGAAGCTGATTGTGGGGGAAGCAGATAAACAGTCAGCTTCACTCTGAGCGTCTATTTTCCCCCAACTGACAGCTCAATGTCATTGTAAGTTTTCAGAATTTCAATTTTGAGGCATTGAGAAGGTCCAAGAGGTTAATTAGGGGGTCCTGGACCCCCCAGGTCCCTCTGTATTTCACACCTTGCTTTAGGCCATATAGTGCACATTATTGAAGACTGTGAGTTTCTGATTTTTTAAGTGTGACAGCTGAGAGCTGACAGATCAGTAAGTAAAGCACTGTTAACGAAAACTATAGGAAGTCAAATTCCAATAATATCTAGAATATTGGTGTGTAAAATCGTTTTGGTATGAGTAACAGAATATTCTTCTCACTGGAGCTCCATTTAAAATAGCTTTGAAGGTAGAAAACAACACAGTTTTTGTCGAATAAATCAAGCAAATCGACTCTAAACTTGTAAAAAGCCATTAATATCGGTTCAGCAGAGTAACTGTCACCGTATTTTAACACGTTTTACAGGTGGCACGAACCCATAAACTGTCTGATAGCTTCCAAACCTAATTTAGAGGAGTGATCAATGTTGACATAAGCCACTTCCATCAGCAAACGCTTTCTTTCTCCTTTTTTTAGTGTTTTTTTAATGAAGATGCAGCCCGAGACGTAATTAATTAGGTATTAATTTCTAGCGCTGATAGCCAGACTTCATCAGTGGGAATGAAGTCCTGATTGACTCTTCATTAAGACTGGCCTTATTTATCTCTCATCTCCAGGCTTTGGTGTGCCGACGGCCATTTGCATGTTGATGATGTTAAGCGTAACTGACAGCTCTAAAAAGCGGCCGGCGGAGCCGCCGGTGTTAATAAGCTCGGAGCGATGCTCAGACGGAGCGGATTTTGATCCGTAGCTGCGGGCTTCCGGTAGAAATTGACACCTGTGGTCCTGATACATAATGACCACCTCTGGGCCTCAAACACATGCTTCGGTTTAACCCTACACGCAGGCCAATCAGGAACATCTGACCTCTACTCAACTTTCCTTTCACTCTTTCTCAGTCTTTCCTGCATAAAATTCAGCTGATATCCTCAACTCTGCCGTCTAAAGAGGGCTTTATATTCAGTGGCTCAGTCTGTTTTACGCCTTTAACTGTAGATATGATATAAATACTGGAGGCTGGCTCCATATATTTAACACTAACTGGCCACCTTATTAGAAACACCCACCTTGTGCTTCCACAAACTGGCCACTTTATTGGAAACACCTACCCTGTGCTTCCACTGACTGGCCACTTCATTAGAAATGGCTACCTTGTCCTTCCACTCACTGGCCACTTTATTAGAAACACCAACACTGTGTTTCCACTAACTGGCCACTTTATTCGAAACACCTACCTTGTGCTTCCACTAACTGGCCACTTTATTAGAAACACCTACCTTGTGCTTCCACTAACTGGCCACTTTATTAGAAACACCTACCCTGTGCTTCCACTAACTGGTCACTTTACTGGAAACACCTACCCTGTGCTTCCACTAACTGGCCACTTTATTGGAAACACCTACCCTGTGCTTCCACTAACTGGGCACTTTATTAGAAACAACTACCTTGTGCTTCCACTAACTGGCCACTTTATTAGAAACACCTACCCTGTGCTTCCACCAACTGGCCACTTTATTAGAAACACCTACCTTGTGCTTCCACTAACTGGCCACTTTATTAGAAACACATACCCTGTGCTTCCACTAACCGGCCACTTTATTAGAAACACCTACCCTGTGCTTCCACTAACTGGCCACTTTATTGGAAACACCTACCCTGTGCTTCCACTAACTGACCACTTTATTAGAAACACCTACCTTGTACTTCCACTAACTGGCCACTTTATTAGAAACACCTACCCTGTGCTTCCACTAACCGGCCACTTTATTAGAAACACCTATATATATTCAGTATCTACAGTGAAACGAATGTGTAAGTTCTGTAGTTCTGAGAGTAGAGAACTTGGAGGGCCTAACATACAGCACAATAATTCATTAAAATAATTTAAATAATATTTGAATAATTAATTTTAACAGTCCAAATCCTCTGGTTTCCAGTTACAGGTTGTACACTCTCACTGAGAATGTCAGACTTGAATGTGTAATAAATTGCTTCCATGTGTTTGCAGCATCAATAAAAATGCTGTGGTTGTATATTTGAACACTACATTAAAAAAAAAGAAAAGAAAAGAAAGTGTTGCTGAAATCGAAGTGAAAGTGTGTTTGCTCTGTTTCTGCTGCTGTTTTTGCTGAGGATGAAGCGGATGATGAATGGTCTTACCGGTTTTGGCTTTGCAGGACCTTCTGTTGGCCTGGAGGCTGAACCCATCTGCACAGCTGCATCTGTACGAGCCCAGCGTGTTCATGCAGATTTGACTACATGTCCCATAATCCCCGCATTCATCATGATCTGTAGGGAAATGCAGGAGTCATCAGTTGTAGGATTAAAGGGTTCTAAAGATAATGGTTCTATATAGAACGATGAACACTCACAGAACCATTTGCATGCTGAAATGATTCCCAGCGTGGTGAAATTATTCTTCAGATTAATGGAGAATGTGTTGTATATGGTTATTATGTAGAACTTTTTGGAAAATAATTCTAGATAGCTCCAAAATTGGTTCTTCTATTGTATAGAAGCTTGACATCATCACAATAGAAGAACCATTTTTTGGGGCTATATAGAACCATATACAGCACGTTCTCCATCAATCTGAAGAAGAATAGTTTAATGAACCCTGTAATCATGTAAAGAGATCTTTGAGTGTTCTAAACAGAACCGTGGTTCTAGTTGAGCCATTTTCTTTACTAAAGAAACCCTGAACAACAATAATCAACGTGACAATTTTACACTTTCAAATTACGAAGAACTTATCTTGCAATTCCGCTAACTGGCCACTTTATTAGAAACACCCACCTTATGCTTCCACTAACTGGCCACTTTATTAGAAACACTCACCTTGTGCTCCCACTAACTGGCCACTTTATTAGAAACACCTACCTTGTGCTTCCACTAACTGGCCACTTTATTAGAAACACCTACCTTGTACTTCCACTAACTGGCCACTTTATTAGAAACACCCACCTTGTACTTCCACTAACTGGCCACTTTATTAGAAACACCTACCTTGTGCTTCTACTAACTGGCCACTTTATTAGAAACACCCACCTTGTGCTTCCACTAACTGGCCACTTTATTAGAAACACCCACCTTGTGCTTTCACTAACTGGCCACTTTATTAGAAACACCCACCTTTTACTTCCACTAACTGGCCACTTTATTAGAAAACACCTACCTTTTACTTCCACTAACTGGCCACTTTATTAGAAACACCTACCTTATACTTCCACTAACTGGCCACTTTATTAGAAACACCCTACCTTGTACTTCTACTAACTGGCCACTTTATTAGAAACACCCACCTTGTACTTCCACTAACTGGCCACTTTATTAAAAACACCTACCTTGTACTTCTACTAACTGGCCACTTTATTAGAAACACCCACCTTGTGCTTCCAGTAGCTGGCCACTTTATTAGCAGCTGCCCATTGACTTCCATTCTAACCGACTTTCAACCCCACATATTTTCTGTTGTTTTCAGCACACAGCATTTCCGGTCTGTGTGAATCACCCTCGCGCCACGGTTACAGCAGACAGGGGTGAAGTTTAAAAACGCTGAAGTGCTCCTTTAATGTGCTCCAGCATGACCTAAATACATACGGCCTCAGCTTTGGCTGCCATGTACACACAACTTATGAATATGTAAATGTGCTCTGTAATTGGGCGCAGGTGAGTGATGGGTAAACGAGCGTGTAGGCAGGCTTTACCTTAGAAAATATAGCGTCGAAAAACAGGAATAAATAATGTTTATGGTACATAAAACCACCTACATCAAAACCACGACTGTGGAGAAGACGTCCTAATTAGAGTCAAAGCCAGGCAGCCTGTTTGTTTACTGAGGAAGTGAATCATTAAAGAGGAAGAGGAGAAGAAAAGGACAAACGAAGGACACCCGGACGAGAATTTACCTCCAAACCATCATCTCTAACAGATGAACTGCACCCCACCCCCTCAATACCACTCACCCCCCACCAAATCCCCCAGATATAAGGCAGATACATCCACTGATATCATAATGATAAGCCAGATATCTCTGTCTGCATTAAAGGGCTGGTACCCTGCGTTTTCCTTATATATTCATTAATGTGGATTTATAAACCAGAATTCCAGTTTTTCATGACGTCTCTTCATCCCTCAGAATGAAACAGGCTGTTTTTTGTCACTGTGCCTTTAAGACTCATATACAGGCGTGTGCAAAAGTTTAGGCAACCCCCAGTCAAGTGAACTAGTTTATATTTAATTTTAAAAAAAATTGCTGACACCAAGAATGAAATATTTAAAAGGTGAAATTTAATTTTCATGTGTGAACTGAATTCCTGAGACCAAGATAAACATGAAATTAAATTATCAGACATAAAAAACTGTTGAAATTTAGTTTATGTTAGTACAAATCATTCTCATAATTATAATGAATTTGAAAAAGGCGTGAATTATTATTATTATTATATTATTATTATTATTATTATTATCATCTAATATAAAAATTAAATCTTACATGCTAAAATATAATTCCTGCAGTTAAAAGTTGAATTTTATGTAGTAATATGTTTATTTTTATGTCCATTTTTGCAATGAAAACATTTTCTGAAGACGCTTTGATTCTTGATTAAAAGTTAAAAGCATCTTTATCAAACTTATTATTATTATTTGAAACAACTTCCTGAAAATTCGCAGCTCTGTTTCTGAGAATTTTGCTTTTCTTTGCTTTAATTTCTTTTATCAGCCAACCGGAGTCTCACTGGGCGTGGGTCTTTAATATGCATGAGCTCATTTACATGCCAAAACTGATCAGTTCTTGCTTAGAACAGCAGTGAAAATACTGCTGCATTAAAAGACACTTCAGTAAATAAATAATTGCTTATTAAGACGTGCAGAAGTGTTTACGTGTTTACATAAATCAATAAAACGCATGCTTTGATGAGGGGTGCCAAAACTTTTGCACACAGCTTGAAACTTGAACAACATCTATAAATTCACATCAAGCTCATTTATTAAAAAACCAGTGAGGAAAACTGAGCTTTCAGTGTTTGGGTCATTCTCCATCTGGAGGGGAAACAAAGGCTTCAGGGCTTAAACAGATGTTTACAATATTAGCCACAGCTCAGTCTGTACGTTTATTAAAGATTAAATAACACTTTTCCTTTATGATTCTCTGGTTTTTCATAGTCGCTATCTGTGAAACAGCTCGTCACAAAACCAAGTTTCAAACCATTTTTAATATAAAACCATATTTTTTAGAGGTTTAACTCAGGAATTTGTATTAAACAGATTCATGTTTACTTTTTATATCATTAATGTTTTACTACATTTAAAAAATATGTATTTTATTTAAAAAAAAAATCCATTTCTCTCAGAGATTGTGGTCACTGGTGTTTTCAGGACTCTTATATTTTAACAGTATTTTCAGCTCTATTAAACTGCTTCTTTGGGTCGAGGCTCATCAGAGAGGAAGCATCTCGAGGCAGGAGAAGGCGAGTCACACTCGCTCACTATATTTCATTAATTTATTAATAATTTTGTTGATCAGGCAGCTCACTGGCGTTTTGTGCTTTAATGGCTGGGTCATTAAAATTTTGTCAAAATAATGCCAAATATAATGTTTTTATTACTGATTTTAAATACACAAGGTCACCTGATCGGCCAACGAGTCAGCCGATTTACAGAATCCTCAGTTTTAACCAGAATGTCACTGGAGTCAGCGTCACTGGAGTTACACCATATTCATACAACAGCAGTGACTGTAGAACATGACTGAATTAGTTTAGGGATGATGTTTTAAACATGTATCTGCCTGAATTCCCACTGCAAATGGAGAACGACCCGTATGGGCCCTTTAAGCGCAGAGGTCAGAGGAGAGTCTGAGTCGGTACCTCTGCACGTTTTCCCGTCCTCCTGCAGCTCCAGGCCGTTTCCACAGTAACACGACGCTCCCGTTCTCAGCCTCACACAGTCGAACTCACACCGCCGCTCACTGCAGCTCCGCTCCAGCTCTGAAACACAGACACGCAGGCGTTACACAGCGTCTCTCAGCGCAGCTTTACAGTGCTGTCCACTCTATCAGCCCCACTGACCGCTCTATCAGCTCCACTGACCACTCTATCAGCTCCAATGTACCGCTCTATCAGCTCCACTGTCCACTCTATCAGCTCCATTGACCGCTCTATCAGCTCCACTGTCCGCTCCATCAGCTCCACTGTCCACTCTATCAGCTCCACTGACCACTCTATCAGCTCCACTGTCCACTCTATCAGCTCCACTGACCGCTCTATCAGCTCCACTGTCCATATAGTTTCACTCTGTAGTTCTACAGTTACAGACTGTAGTCCATCTGTCTCTCTGCATACTGTGTTACCCTGTTCTTCAGTGGTCAGGACCCCCATGGACCCCCACAGAGCAGGTACTATTTGGGTGGTGGATCATTCTCAGCAGTAACACTGACGTGGTGGTGGTGGTGTGTTAGTGTGTGTTGCGCTGGTCTGAGTGGATCAGACACAGCAGTGCTGCTGGAGTTTTTAAACACCTCAGTGTCACTGCTGGACGGAGAATAGTCCACCAACCAAAAATATCCAGCCAACAGCGTCCTGTGGGCAGCGTCCTGTGACCACTGATGAAGGACTAGAGGATGACCAACACAAACTGTGCAGCAGCAGATGAGCTGTCGTCTCTGACTTTACATCTACAAGGTGGACCGACAAGGTAGGAGTGTCTAATAGAGTGGACAGTGAGTGGACATCTGCTTTGTCCTGACTGGACATTTTTCAAGTTTTTAACCCTTTTGTTTCCAACCCAATCTTGTAATTACAATGTAATAAGAGTATTACTACAACACTTACAGAGCTTAAATACAACCAGTATGACTAAAAATGAGCTAAAAATTACAGGTATGTATTTTTAACGTATTGTTGAGGGCTGAGACGTAAAATGCGGCCTGTGCAAAAGTAATGGCACCTCTTAAATCTCCTTGTTGTTTTTATTTTTCACGTGTGAAACTCGGCACGTGACCTTATTTCAGTAAAATGTGTTCATTTGGCCCGGAGTGTGCTCAAACTCTCGACTGCTGCTGTTCAGCGCTTCCACACGTGTCGTGCCAATGTCAGCCGGAGGGCTGTCGGAATGAATAGGCGCCGTCGCTGTGGATCTCCGGCGCTATTTCGGACCGAAAAAGGCTCCACAAACAGAACAATGCCGGTTCACCGGCCGGCCGCGGGAACATAAAGCCCATTCTTTCACAGAAGTCGGCCGGACGCGGCCTCGTTACGAGAGCGTGACTCAGCACTTTTGGGGCTAAGTGGCATTTAGAGGCTGTTTCCTTTGATGCATTCCTCCGGGGTCCGCTCGGGCTCAAGGTTGCTGTCAATAGGAAGCCATAAAGCTCAGATTTAGAGCGCGCGCCGGGAGATCCGTCACCTTAGCGGCACTTAGCGCGCCGTAGCGCTAATCTGCGGAGTATCCCGATTTATTTATCGATCTCGAGCTCAGCTGAAGAATGGCTGCGATTTCTGAAAGCGCCAGCAACACGCGGCCGCGGTCAATCGCAATGCGTTTAATATCAATAAACAATTTAGTGCACCTTTTTCATCCACCTGCTGGCGGGGTCACCTTGCCAGCATTGTCGTCCTAGCGGCGCTTTGTGTGCAGAAAGTAGATTTGAGGGTTATATAAAGAGCCTGTCTCGGCCTGTCTCACTCTCTGGCAGTCATTCTACACAAACAGCCACACGCTCAGCTCCGCCGCTCACGCTGTCCGGCTTTAAAGGGATGGTTCTGTCTTATTTATACCAGATGTAGTCCATCAGCCGAGACAGAACCAGTGGCTTCTTTAGTTATGAGGCCAGCACAGCCAAACTAATCAATACCTGGATTATATTCTGATCTATTTAAGATAAAAGCATTAATAGAGACAGTGATAATCTAAATGCACTGTTATTAATAAAGGTTCTGTTCAGGTACATTTATCATCCATCAAGGTCCAAACAGTGTAAACGTTCCCTCGAAGCTCCAACAGTGGTTCTAAGGTCTGATTGTGAACCTTAAATAAGTTTTTCCAGGTGAAAAGTTCGTATTTGTTCCTTTTCATAACCGAATGTTTTAAACAGAACAGTAAAGTAAAAGCCTGGAGACGAGACGGGGTGTGTGGAGTCAGTACAGCTTAGAACATATCATTTCAGTGGATTATGGTTCAGTTATGTTCCCTGACTAAAGGTACTGAGATGGAGCCTTGAGGGTTCCACCCCAGTGACAGGAGGGAAACTGACCCAGAGACACTTTATTTCTGAGAGTGGATAAACAAAATGATCATTTGTAGGGTTCTTTCTGTTGGGAGGGGTCTGTCTCGAACCCAAACCCCTAATATTTTTACATTTACAAAATGATATTTACATTTTTTTTCAATGTTTTATTTCTTTTAAAGTTAAGTTGAAAGATTTGGATTGCTCTTAAGTTTCATTTTTAAAATAAAAAGAAAAATGCTGTCTCATTACCCAAACACAATTTAGCCTTATTTTAGCCACGCCCCTTTTAGAGCAGGTAGTGAGACTGCATCCCTGTCCCTCATGGCCACATGGTGAGCAGGTAGATCCCATTGTTTTGAGGTAAATCTGTCCCAAAGTCTGAAAATCAGTAAATCTGGTCACTTTAGAACCATTTTAGTTGCAATTTAACTCAAACTACATCTGAAATATGTTTCAAGTGTAGCAGAATTTGAGTCTTAACAGCTGCTTCACTGCATCATAAGCTGCTCCAACTTACAAAGAACCATCTGCATGATTAACCGGTTCTTCTCATGGTGAAATGGTTCTTCAGACTGATGGAGAACGTGCTGTATATGGGTCTATATTGAGCCTTTTTGAAAATGGTTCTATACACCACTAAAAATGGTTCTGCTATTGTTATGATGTCAAGTTTGTAACAATAACAGAACCCTTGTTGGTGCTACCTAGAACCGTACACAATAGATTCTCCATTACTCTAAAGAATGATTTCACCGTGCAAATGGTACTTTGAGTGCTCATGGTTCTATATAGAACCACTGTCTATACTAAAGAACCCTTGAAGAACCATCTTTTTCAAGTGTTTATGTATATATAAGTATATATGCTTGGTTATCTCGAACATTATTTTTAAGTGTATGCTTAACTATGTTTTATAAAAATACATGTGCTTATTTGTTGAATGCATTTAAGAGCATTTAGTAATACAGACATCATTTAAAATGCATTTAAGTGCATTACAGTAGTAGTGAATCAGTAAATCCAGTAGTATTTATGATCTGTTGCAGGTGTAATAACACTTATATCTACAAATTGTATACTTAAATTCACTTAAGTGCAACTTAAGTTGTCCGAAAAAAGAGTAATGCATTTAATATATTTTATTATTAGCTTTGTTACAATTTAACATATGAGTTTAACATCTAAGTTGTTTCAAAGTAATACTTTTATTTTTTTATTCTCTATTTCTATTTTATCTATTGAAGAATGTTTAGAACTGAAAATGTTCTTGTAATAATTGAAGATGTATTTCAACATTACTTAAATAAAATAAGTTTTAAGTAAACATAAGATGGGTTTAGTTATTCCTAATAATGTGTTTACACGTATGCTTAATTATGTTTTATAAAAGTGTGCTGGTTTAATATTGAATGCATTTAAGTGCATTTAGTAATACTTAACTATAATCTGAAATTAATTTAAATGCATTTAGTAATACTTTACTATAATCTGAAATTAATTTAAATGCATTTAGTAATACTTTACTATAATTTGAAATGAATTTAAGTGCATTTAGTAATACTTTACTATAATCTGACATGAATTTAAGTGCATTTAGTAATACTTTACTATAATTTGAAATGAATTTAAGTGCATTTGGTAATACTTTACTATAATCTGAAATGAATTGAAGTGCATTTAGTAATACTCAACTATAATCTGAAATGAATTTAAGTGCATTTAGTAATACTTTACTATAATCTGAAATGAATTTAAGTGCATTTAGTAATACTTTACTATAATCTGAAATGAATTTAAGTGCATTTAGTAATACTTTACTATGATCTGAAATTAATTGAAGTGCATTTAGTAATACTTTACTATAATCTGAAATTAATTGAAGTGCATTTAGTAATACTTAACTATAATCTGAAATGAATTTAAGTGCATTTAGTAATCTGAAATGAATTGAAGTGCATTTAGTAATACTTTACTATAATCTGAAATTAATTTAAGTGCATTTAGTAATACTCAACTATATTCTGAAATGAATTCAAGTGCATTTTGTAATACTTTACTATAATCTGAAACACATTTAAGTGCATTCAGTAAGAATTGAAATGCGTTTAAGTTCAATTAGTATCACTGAACCATATTACGAAATGCTTTTAAATGCATTTAGTATTACTGGACCATAATCTGAATGGCATGTACGTGCATTAGTAATAATAAACCATAATTTGAAATTTGCTTAAGTGCATTTGTTAATACTGAACCATAATCCGAAAGCATTTAGGTGCATTTTATTTGCAGCATAACTCAATAAGTAGCTGTGTATCAGTACCTCCAGTATATATTTATGATGTATAGCAAGTGTAACTGTAACAGTTGTGTTTAATTACATACTTCAATCTACCCAAGTTGCTCAAAAACCACAACAAAATGCATTTAACATGTATTTACAGCAATCACAGCTTATCTGAAGTAATCATTTAGTACTTATTAAAGCATGTTTGAGGTGTAAACATTAAAAGTGTACACTTTTCATATTAAACACACTTTTGAAAAGTACACTTAAGCGCACTCCAGAGCGTCCTACTCTACTGGCAATGCTTTTCTATGGAGATTATAGACTATACGTGCATGTCCTGGAGCCTGAAACGTGTCGAACTATCGCTTTAAGGGCTGCTGAAAGCGCTTGTCTCAGCCTGTCTCTCAGACTGGCAGTTATTCCAGAAGAATGACAACACGCTCGCCTCCATCGCTGACTCTG